TATAAACCAACTCATAATGGAATGATTGATAATTTCGTTTCCGATTATCTTCTATAAACAATGCACCTGATTTGTATCTTTACTTACGTACTTGAAATTATATTAGATGTTATTATTAAACTTTCACAATTACTTCTTATATTTTAAGAAAAACAACTTGATTACTATTTAATTTATTGAACAATTTAAATGCATTTCTGATTTGTAATGTTCATCAATTTCAAATTTACGTGCACTTATGTTGAACAAGTTTACTTTTAAAAAAATAACGACAGTCACTTTCAAACATTTCATTACTTAATGATTTACAATGAATTGAAAATCGTGAATCGTACTTTATTTTTAAAATTAATAGGTTAATTTGAATGTAATCAAGTAAAAAATATTTTCTATACCATTTTTTTGTAAATGGAAAGAAAAAAAACACTACAATATTCCCAAAGTAATCAATAAGCATCGTTTAAACTTTAAAATATAAAGTTTTTTAAAACATAAATAAACAGATTTGATGTACAGATTTGATGTACAGACTACGAATCGCGCATTTAATAATTAATAAGTATCAAGATTACTTAAACAAATAAATATGAATTATAAATAATCACAATAGAACAATAATAATTACTAACACGTTCATCACTATTTCTGGTTAATTTTCCTATCACTTACTTTAAAATAAAATGTATGAAATTATTAATTGTTATGAAAAAAATGTTATTTCTTCAAACAAACAGATTTTGCAAAACAGGTTTTGCAACAGGTTATTATAAGTATAATATAATTATTTATTAAATACAGCAATACCTCACATAGTACGGTTTCGATCAGTCCGGATAGATTATAGTACGGTTTGAAAGTTTTAAAATAAACGAAATTTATTCAAAATGATGTTGGTCTTTTTGTGTGGTTTATTTTTGTATGTTTAGTTCATCGATTAGTCCGCTTTCAAAGAGTCTTACTATGTAAGGTATTGCCGCATATCAATTTAGAGTATAACCAAGTTCGCTAACAAATAACATTAAATGAAAATAAAATACGAATTGTGAAAGCAAAAACTGCATTCAAAGGTATTCAAGAAATATACAACAAGTTTTACAAATAAAAATATTTCTTGATAACACATATCACGTTCGAGTTGACGATCTTCACGGTGTCTAGACAAGAATATGAAGTACCTAATGTATTTCTAAAACAATGTTTTATCATTAACATGAATATATTTATCTATTTAAATGTTTTATATTCATTTGTATAATAATAGAATTTGAACAATACGCCACTGTTTTCAATATTATATCTACATGATTTTAAATTGATAAAATTATATTTCAATTGATGCTACTAGCAAATATAGTTTAAAAGTATTTATAGTTTTGCAAATATTTAGTATATATTTAATATTACATTATTTTTATTGCCATCCATTAAAATAATTTTTCATGAATATACTCATTATTATTTGAGAATTCTACATATTTTTTAGTAGGAAATATAAGAAATCAGGAATAGAAAGTTTGTTTATAATTTGTCATTACGGAAGAAAAAATGAATATAAACAATTCTTAAATACGCATAGTGCGGGTAATCGCTTCCGCCAATATCTTGCTTGGAACCGGACTAATTGAAGTACTAATACATAAATAAACCGCACAAAAAGTGACTTGACTTGAATGGAAAAAACAATTATTTTATTTTTTTTTAAATAATTTAGTCTACTAATTTTTAAGAATTAAAATTTAGTTTTTATTTAAATTTTCAATCCGGAGTGATCGACTATGCGAGGTAAAGCTATACGTTAGTTTTTGCAACTTCTAACTGTTTTGTTGAAAACTCCTTTGTGGTTGCAGGTAGACAAACATGTCTGTAGTTAAAAATAAAGAATAGATCTTTTGAATGACAATATCATATGATCGATTTTCATGAAATTCTTATAAAATATATATAAAAAAATATGGCTTAAGCTTGCGTTTTCATTAAAGGTCAAATATTTCTAAAAAAAAACGTCGTAGAGAAAACTACATAAACTAATATTTTATTTGTAATTCCAAGTAATTTTCTGATTTATTCAATAAAAAAAGTATATATCATTAGTAGACACCTCATGCTTAAGTTCCGGGCGTTAAGTTCCAAATTACCTTGATTCAGCCTTGCTTTTAACATTAGAATGCAAATATTTGAATCATGTTTAATTATTTCAAATATATTATTAATTGTCTACATCTATGCATCACAAAAATGGCATGATGTTATCGAGCGCATGGTTCATCATCTTCTGAAAGCATGCATGTCTTAGGCATAAAGATGTTTAGTCTTCTGTCCTGTCAACGCCGTTTGCCAGTCACATATCGGTAGGATTATTTACTATCTACAATATTAAGCAAAATGGTGAGTATCAGGTCGAAACCTCTGCAAAACCAGTAACTCGAGGGTGTATAGTTTAGATGGGCATCCTCCGATGGCTCAAACTTGTATTCAGAACGTTGACACGTAGTTGGAAATACCGGATCCTGAGTTTACAAACTATAAATAAAATGCTTTTTCTGAGCCCTGCAGCATATGTTTTTTCAATTTTTTTTCACCGAAACAACGATTATTGGTATTCAAACTTTACTTAGAATCTATTCTTTCGTTTGAACATTTAGTTATACCAAATAAAGTAAACAGTATTTTAACTGAAAATTCAATTATTACAATAAACGAATATTTTCTCTCGCAATGTATTTTTTTTAATATTGTTGTGTTTACTGTTAGCATTATCATTATTATGAAGTAATATACATATTTATTGCTCAGTAAATACAATGACTCAGTTAAATGGCTTTATCTATCGAGTCACAGCAGGTACTATATATTTTTTAACTATAGCAAAGTTCAAATTTCAATTATTTCTTGTAAATATACAATTAAAACAAATATATCAACACGCAAAAATATATATAATTGGCATCATTATTTGTAATGGACTTTCAATAAATAACGTTTGCAACTAAATTTGTATGTCCTAGAAATAATGATAGTGCATTTACTGAATATTTTTTTTATAAATTTGTACTTCTAGAAAAGTAAATGAGAGATTACGACTTCCATTACCGGTAAACGATTAACCGGTTTTAACAACAAATGCGATTACCTGTAAATTTACTTGAATATTTTTTACCAAATTATAACTAATATCCGACGAGTAGAAATGTCTTTAGTCAATCCCCAAAAAAAATTCTTCATAGTACGCTCCAAAATTAATTTAGAAAAAAAAATATTGGGGATAACAGAACGACATGAAACAGCTTGTTAGATATAGTTGAGCGATTCTGTCAATTGAAAAAATGCAGCAAGATAATAAAAAGAAACAAATTGATCTGCTACAAAGATCCATATGTCTTTCTACTCTAATATTAATATCATCTTGTAGCTGTAGAAACTGTACATCTGAGCGTACATTACTTAAGCCAATGTTACCCATAAATTTTCTGCGCAAAAGCAGCAAATGTTGTCCAGTTTTTACAATTTTAATTTTTCAATTAAAACATATTTTTTAACTAATAATATTTACCGGTAAGCAAAAATAACGGTAAATTTGGATGTCTTATATACAATAACTCTAAATAACTTGAGTATCGAACAAGATCCAACAAACACGTTTAACATCCAAGTATTTAAACTATCGTATGAATATGCGCACTTATACATCTCGCAAAAATAATTCTTGAAATGCAAAAACTGTAAGAAAAAAGAATTTAATATTTCTCTTTCCATATTTATATACTCAATATTAAAAATAGATTTTTTTGACAAAATTAAACATTGAATGTAAGTATTACTTTGTTCAAATTCTTAAAAAGAAATCAATACACTAGAAAAGTTTATACGTATTTAAAAAAAATGATATTACTATATGCAACTATACGCACAAATTAAATAATTATATAAATATACATTTTTTAAATTTAATTTATAAATATATGAACATATATAAAACTAAAAAAATGCTAGATTTTTTTTATAAATATTTATATTTATCAGAGAGTCGAACCGACAGTAATTTCGTTCGGGTTTACGGTTACGTTCCAAGTAATTGTTAACGTTCCAGATTCGGTTCGTCTAAAAATTTCAGTTCAGTTTCGGTTCCGGATGAAATTAAAATTTAAAATCGAAAAATACAGCAATTTAAATTCGTTAAAGTTAAAATTTAAAACCGGTTCGACTCTCTGATTTTTATAATCGTTTCTTTCCACACCTTCCCTATTCACTTAGCTTACGCATCTTGCGCAATTTCGCCAGCCACTGTTTTGTTATTATAATACCCGAACTCTACTAAAGTTCATTACAGCTGCTAGCGTAGTTACTAGATTATATTCGCTTGGTATCAGAAGAGAGAAAAAAACAACTAAAAAATAATATTTCTTTTATTATAATTATAATAAATAGTAGCAGTCGGTAAAATTAAACAATTTTTTTTAACTATATCGATCACATTGGAATATAAAAGTACATGTATAGGCAATATCTGGACATCCGAGGTGTTATAATATATTCTTAATTTTAAATAAATTCATCTGCATTATTATTCTAGTATTGTTCAACTGAATGAGGCTAGAAAAATAAGTTATAAATTTAATAAAATATTTACATTTTTTTTAAATCTTTCATTCTCAATATCTATAAATATCATAAAAATATATTTTTTTTAGAAGTACAGGCAACCACAGTCGCACATCATATTTCATACGCGGACGATTGATTTCTTTGCAAACACGCGCATCGATTTTCGAGTATAATAAATATATATGTATATGAATGATGTATATTGATTGAATATTTTCGTTTCATTTCTTTTTTATTACAAAAAAATAGCTTCGAAGGATTATAATATTTGTATATAGAATATTTGTAAAAACAAAAACCGTATGAGGTAGCTATAATAATTAATAATTAAGAGAATGGACTATTATCAACAACAGTTCAGAAATTAAGTTATATATGTATAAAAAAAACACATGTGAATCAATAGTTTAGGCCATTAATAATAATAATAATAATTTACAAATCTCAATTGTTTTTTTTTTCTTCTTCTCTCTTTCGATAATTATAAGTACATAATCCTAAAACCCTTCTGGCTCTCATCAATATAATTATGTTCTCTTACTCTTCGTAGTTTAAGTACTTAAGCCTAAGTCGTTTCCCTTTCAATTTATACATCACTAATTTATACACACACATATATATGTATGATTTAAAAAAAAATAAGTTTCATAAAAAAATATATTACAAACTAAGGATGCTGATTTTTTTCTTCAAAAATTAAAATTAGAACGTAACAAACCTAAGGGAAATACCATCTTCACGACTTGTTGCAAACGCAAGGAAGAAATCGTGAACTAAAAACTATCACTTATTTCGAATACTACGAAATTAAGAAGCTATACGCCTTTTTCTTCCTCTCCGTGTCTCCGCTTCATTCCCCGGGAACGCTATTCTATTTGTGGAATTCGTGGATACACAACTTGCAAGACCAAGAACCTTCCGGAGGAGTAGTCAGTGGAGGACTCAGACAATACATGTGATATCCGCGATCACAATCATCACAAAACAATAATTGATCCTGAAACCATCGGTACAATGAGAATGCATACCTTTTTTTTGGCGTATTCTAATAATTTACTATATTATCTAAGTACTTACGTCGTTATCAGAAGTTCCACACACAGAACAGCATTTACACTCGATACATTGCCATCTGTACTTTTTCACCGATATATTCATATTGGCTGTGAATTGCAAACACGTTGGATGGCCTAGATAGGACAAGAATTAATCGCAATTAATTACAACTAAATAACCATTGGAAAAATAATTATGTAAGTGATCAAGAAGTTATCAGATACTTACCATACGACAAAACACAACTTATTTAATACCCGACGCAATTATTATTTTCATATGAATTATTATTGGCGTTTGTGAATATTGATAAAAATTTAATACAGTGGAACCTCGCATAACGAGCAAAATGAATTGCAAGAAAAATGACTCGCTTAACGAGCGTAGTTTCGCATAACGAGTGACGAGGAGAAGAGAAGTCCCAGATTGCGCGCCTCTTACATCATTTTTCAAACTTGTGTACACATATTATGTGTATTTTTGAATATGTTTCACTCTACGAGTAAAAATCTGAAAATTTATAACGGATTAAACTCGTTAAGCGAGGTTCCACTGTATATCGTTTGAAAAATAAATAGCTTAAATATGCTCAACAATTGAAAAGCAATAAAAAAAATCGCACAAACCGAATATCTAAAGCAACGAGGCCCAGAAAGACTCTTTGACCATCGGGGAATGATTTCGTGGATTTGCGGAAGGAGAGGATTGATATTTTTTTCCAAAGTGCCGAAGAACAGTGACTTTCCAAGTTACGTAAATTTTTCTTTCTTTTTTTTTGGTATATAAAGGCTTTTACTGTACGTGATTTCAATGCATCAAAATAATTTTCTTTTCCTTTTTCCATTTAGAAGAAAATGCGTTCACCCGAAAAAAAAAACAATAACGTGCGCGAAAATTTCAATGCATCAAAAAGAAAGAGTATTCGTTGTTGGTCGTTCCATCATTAGCAATCAATGGTATTTCAGAAAAATGTACATAAATTGAAGTGCACTCAAATCTTCAGCACTCGAGAAAAAAAAAAGAAACGTAGAGAAAACAAAGAACAAGATTCTTAAAAATAAAAAGCGAAAAGAAAATTTTTCGTCGTCCATTTTTTTTTTCATATATATATTTTCTTGCATCATTCCATTTTAAGGTTTCTTTGTAGATTCTTTGTTGGCATATTTTTAATATTAATATACTTAATATTGCACTAAATTTACATTATATACGCTTGGAAAATAACTGTTCTCACAACTTTTTTTTTGGTTAAAAAAATTACATCCCTCGCACATACACGCACTCGACAAACATGAATTCCCATCGATTCGAGAAAAAAATATAAAATAAATCAAATATTAAGAACAAAACTATAAATTCTCCTAATCGTCTCATCGAAATTATGCCCCAAATATTTCTAAACCAACACAACACTTAGGAACTTTCGCCCATTTTAATATTTCCTTCACCAACAGAAACAAAAAATCTAATCTCTTCTAATTATGTTGGGTTAAAAATATTTCGATTTACAATTTACTTAAAGCAATAAACAATATATAATAATAATTAACAAAGCATCATCAGATCTCCAATTATAAATAAATATTATACATTAATTAGATTCTTTTAAATCATCTTTTATAAATATATATTTATATATATACTTAATAAAGTCAAAATTATTGACTAGAATTTCTGCTATTCAAAATTAACGTTCCTTTAAGAAATCCGATTGAAACAAAGTATTGAAGAGCTGTTGCAAAGGAATCCTTAGGACATTCAGAATATCCAAGATTTATACAACAACTAATCAGAAAAATCCAACAAACAATTGCTTTATGTCAGCCTCCATTTCAATCGACCGAAAAATCAATAAGTTTGACTTAAAAATGCCCATTCTCTCAATCTCTTGAATCGGAAGACTATGAAATTATAAAATTAAAAAGTGCACCAATATTATTTTTTCACATTCTTCTTTTTCAGAGTGGTTAGTCAGTGTGTACATTCTATAAACTATTATATCATTCATTTTGATTTAGGTAAAATTTGAATACTGGACTTAACATCACTCTCATATTTTTAACTTTGTACGTATTTCACTTCTTTCGCGTTTCTTCAATATTTTGGCAGTTTTTCTTTTGTATCAAAAATTCACCTAAAGTCCAGCAAATATGGTCCATTAATATCATTCAACTATCATTTAAAAGAAAACAATACAACATATTCCTATATATATACAAAGCGAATTTGCATATCCCATAATATTATAATAATATTACATCATCTAGACAGAGACACAAGTGAATTTGATAATATGTGTGTTAATCTAAGTAAAGCTTCTTCTTGACCAGCAAACGTTTTGAGCAAATGGTTGCAAATCGATCAGACTTAAAACCACTGTTCTAATTAAACATTAGAAGATCTAGCTGAAGCTTATGACATTCTTTTTTTTTTTTTGGTCGCCCAAATTAAACCATTCCCCTTGTCGTCATTCACATAATAATATAACAAAACTTATACATATAAAAATAATTGCGGCGACTCAAGTATACACAAATACGTATATAATAGACTTTTTTTAGAAAAATATGTGTTGCCCAAAAATTTGGTTTTAGAATATTTCTTTTGCTATAATAAGGAACACAAATTGAATTTGCTTCAACGAATTGACTAAAGTTTCTTTTTGCGGCCCTTTTTGGGCTTCTCATCGACTTTCCCCTTACCTGATCTTCCGCAATCTGAACACGAAACTAGCTCCTCAGAGCCACCGGTTTTCTTGTTCTCGTTAGAATCGCCTAAACAAAAATCGCAATAGGGACTGGGAGCGGCCTTCGGTTTTTGCTCCATCGTCGCTACCATCGAATGGATCTGAGGAGGCGTTTCGATGGTTTTCTCTGGAACCAAGACTGGCATCGGTGGATCCTCTATGGTAGGCGGAACGGGTGCGGGCAAGTTTGGCGGCAAAGTTGGAGGAGCCTGAGTCGGCGGCAATTGGGGCGGGTTCGACTGTCGGCCACGCCTTCCGGGAGTGCCTAAATTAAAATCGTCCAAACGGAAGCAATTAAATATCGCGCCAGTCAACACAAGTTATCAAGAAAATATAAGACAAAATAAAAATAATCAAAATACACTCACTCACAAGAAAACACAATGTAATAATAATAAAAAAATTAAAAACAAATAAATGCGAGTCTCGTGTCTCTACAACGGCAGAAATAAAAACACATTTAGAATATATAATATATATATATGTATATGAAAGAACTTTTGGATTTGTCTTTGCAAAACTTATTTGGTTTTTCGGGCAGAGAATTATTAATATTTAATGAGTGCAGACAATGCAAAATAAAAGGAAAGTATTTTAAGTTAAAGCTGTTTAGGTCTACTGTTGATGTAACTACTGGCAAACTCGGACCAACTTGCATCATTCAATAAGGATAAAAATAATAAACAAACAGTATTAAATAAAGACTATTTGGTAACAAAAGTAAAATAAAATAAGTATACTACACATGCATCTAGTAAAATAATAACAATAATAAAAGTAATAAAAACACAAATAAGTATATAGTAAATAAATAAAAGAAATAAGGCAGTACCGGCTGGGTGGTTCAAGAAAGACACATAACTATCTTGATAGACGTTTCCTGGAGCTGCACCGGGGGCGGGCAAGGCATCTCCTAAATTACCAGAAGGGGGCGGCAAGAGGCCGCCACCCAGGAGAGGTGGCGGCGGCATGGCCGGGCCGCCTAGATTGGGGTGCAGCGGAGGAACGCCGCCGCCGCCAATCGGCATTCCGATGCCCATGTGGGGCGGCGGCGGACCGCCGACCAGGGGTGGCAGCCCACCACCGCCCATGGCGGCGGCAGACCCCATGGGGGGAATGGGCGCGGCTGACGGGGGCACGATTTGTGGCGGGGCCGCTTCGCGCGAATTCTCGTCACTTGCACCCTCTTTGTGCGAATGTCCGTAGTGGTAAGTCAGTCCAGGCCGCGTCTTGTACCGCGCCCCACACACTGAAATTTGCCAAAGAACAAAAAAAAATCCAATTGGTTCTCCACTGTAAATTTTTGTTTTATACTCTTCAAAAAAGAAAAGAAAATTTTCCCCTCAACTTTGTAGAGAAAAAATATATAAATAATTTGCAAGTAAAATAAGACTATCCACCCCCAGGCGACACATGATGTGTTATGCAATGATCAATTAATTACGAATAAAATATATTTATATATAAGAATATATATAAATATGTATCTATATAACAAATAAATAAACTCAAATAATATTAGGAAAATCAACAATGATGATCATCTACAATTCAAATCACAAGGTGTATGCAACCAAATATACATCTAATCTTTTATAATATATTAAATGTTGATGGATTAATCTACAATGAGGATGATAATGTGTTTTCAAATCACAACCCTCCCAGAATATATGTATATAGATAGGACCTAATACGTCATAATAATTGAAGAGTTTTGAAGAGCATAAAAATTATTTCTCTTACATGTTATTCATTTTTTGTTTAATTTCTCATATTTTTTAGTGTACACGCTCAATCGCTTAGCAATTAGAGGGACTAGAACCGAACATCTCTCAAATCCGCTCCGGGCATTAGATGATATATAAAAAAGTCGAATGTAAAGTAATGAAAATCCGCTAAAAATAAATAAAAAATAACAAGAGAAGCTAGTCAAATCGCCAACTGCCAGTTAGTCAAATAGAGAGCAGAGCTGATTAGTAATTAATAATAGTACGGTAAAAGAACCAAAGCGGCCAAATATAGAACGTCGTGAACCCGAACCGAAAATCACACGCACTCGTACGCCGGAAAATAAAAGGCTAGAAAATAAAAGGGCGGATAAATCACTTTTCTTGCTCCAATCCTCTTTTTCGGTTCGAGTCCCTGTCTTAACAATAAATAAGAAGAAAAAGCTGATTTTCTAAGCATCAAGCGTAAACACTATTTGTAGTCTATAGGAGCTACTCGAGATATCAAATAGCAATTAACATTCGCAATAAACAACAATACCAGAATCAACAAATTCTCAAAAACCAATGTTAAATACTATCTGTATCTGCTGTACGACTCACTTTCCATGCTCAAGCATTAATTAACGATCTCTTCTCAAAATTTTCAAATACACACAACGCTTTTCTCAGCAAGTAAAAAATATCTTACATTTGAAATATTTTAAAATACCTTGATTTTCGTTACATGAGCCGTTTTTTAGGTTTCATTAATTGTATATACTATAAATAAATACATATATATATTAAAATTAGAGGATATGTTCGATGAAGGTAATTTCATTTAAAAACAAAATCTCTTCTTTTCATTAAACACTTTAATTATTAAAATATGTATATGAACGAGAATTTTGAAGGTTTATAAATGAGCCCACACTCTCGTAAAACTAAACAAAAAAGAAACTAATGAATGAGTACCAAAAAAGCTTATTAAACTTTTTAAAGCCCTCATCATTACAATATATTCTTAAAATTAAGATAACCCTCTCGCTCTGTTCTTAAAATATCTTAAATATATATATAACAAGGTAAATTAAAATACTGCAATTAAATATTAGTATGTCTTTGGCTACAGGTAAAAGTATGTAAGATATTTATCTCTAAGCTAAATTAAGAGTTATAGACTTAATTGAATCAATTCAACTTTCAAGTTTGATATTTCTTTGATTTGTGTCGATAAACTAATATATTTAATATATAATTCATAAATATGATGAGCTGGTTCATTTCGTTTTTTTTTTTTCATGGTAATTTTAAAGCTCGTTGAAGCTAACGTCTAAAGAACTTACGTTCACAGGCGAAAGGCTTGTCCGGATCGCCTGGCGTCGGATCGAAATTGTGAATTGAAGACTTCTTACGTCCTCTACCGCTTCCCTTCCGTCTACCAGGTGTTCCAGGAGAATCGACTCCTCGCCCCTGGAAACGGCACCAAATTTAATAAATATATTACATTCATAAATTAAATTAAATTTTACACAACTTACCCGGCCTGTTCCTCTACGCTTTTTATTCCTCTTACTGTAAGACTCCTCATAATCCAAATCAGAATCAGGATCAGGTTCATCATATGCATCCATATCCAACATATCCTGTTCGTCATAGAACCATTCCTTTGAGACCTCATCCTTCAACAGCAATTGTGAGTCCTTGCTGTCAGTGTCTTGCAGGGCTGGATTCTCTACTTGGGATATACTGTGCATATCATCATCTAGCAGGTGGTCAACTGCTCGACCATATGCCCTTGCATTCATACTCAAATATTGCCTCCTCTTCTTTCTCCATCTTTGCCTTGGATAACTGTAAATTTGTCCAGGTACTGTGCCAGGCATCCTTTGTCTCTTGTTCATAAATAAGGATGAATGACCCTGTGCCACTCCTGTTTGGCTGTCCAAAAAGGGCAGTCTCATTCTTCTCTCTATACATAATCTTGTATTGTAATTTGCAGATGATTCAAGAGCTTCCTTGTATGAAGAATCATTTAAAAAACTGAAATAAATTTTAAACAACCACTGTCAGTTACTAAAATAATGATAGGTACAAAGAGATAATAACCAGAATAGAATAAAATGATTACGTTTTTGTTTAAATATAGTTACTTTTATTATATCTTCAATTATAAATTTAAATTATAAACAATTTAGTTTTAATAATTATAGAATAACAGATGAAAGATCTTAAAATCTAACAATATACATTCAACATATGGTGTTGTGTATTTTGATAATAAGATTACAAAAGCGTATGTATATTTGATTAAAAGTATATTAAAAACAACAATCGTATTTGTATTGATTGATGGAAACACCCATAAATTAAGTTGTTTTCATAGAAAAGATTAAAAATAATTAGAAATTAACATGTAACATAATCAGAAAGAGTTCGGGCTTGTTAATTAGGATACGATAATAGTATTAAAATGTAACAATACCTTTCTATTTTCTCTAAATTAGTACCAGTGGCGGTGGGCAGAACGGCGGCCGCCATCTTGAAAAGGGCAAACAATCGATGTCTGGTCTGGTTTGGTCTGCCGCTTGGTCAACAACCATCAAGACGGAGCATCCAACACAAAATCGTTAAAAACATTTTCAGCGCCGCACCGGCCCAAAATCAATATTCAACTTTTCATTTCAATATAAGTTCAAGGTCTCTGCCGAAATACTATACACTTAAAAATTTGATAAACTGCATCACACAAACTCCTTCTGCTAAACAACACTTCTAGCCATTCTATCATTCCTAGATACACACATTTTGGAAAGTGAATCAAGAAAAAAAGGAAATAAACAAAATTCATAGTGATTTTTTAGTTTGAAATGTTGGGTCCATTTTTTCTCCATTCATGAAATAAAATGTATCTAAAATGTTTATAAAATTGGCACACTCATTAAGTCAATTAAAAGCATGCACTATCAGAATATATTAATAGGAAATTATAAATAGTATGCATCTAAAGTTCATGAATCGGTATTGAAGATATAGCGGTTGGCAGCAGTGGCGGAAGAAAGGTTCGATAACGCGTTTGGTAACTAGATTTTCCGACGCGTTTTTCACTTGTCTCGGACGGAAAGTCAAATTTCCCACGAAACTGACACACATACAGTTTCCGTTAAATTCTCTTGGAAAAATCAATCAAACAAAATTCGTCTTTGTGTGCATTAATTGTCGAAGAAAGGACGATCGAGGCCCCGCCATCAAAACTTCCTTCTTGTTGAATAAACGTGATGGAAGGTTGCAATTACTGAGACGCCCGGAGAATTAAAGGAAATTTTGAAGGAAATGTCGAGTTTGACGCCGAGCACCGCGCTAGGCATTGCCGCCGGCGTCTGCGGGACCCTTTTCTTAGGCTACTGTATATATTTTGACCATAAGCGCCACAAAGATCCCGACTTCAAGAAGAAACTCAGAGAAAGTAAGCATGGAACTCTTGCTATTTGCCCATTTTGTGTAATCATGCTTCGTTTGTTTTTTCCTTGTGCTATTAGAGCGTAGGACCAAGAAGGCTTCCACCACTGGCAAGCGTACAACCACAAATTTCCCCAACATGAAGGATCATGAGGCTGTACAGAGGTTCTTCCTTCAGGAGGTGCAGCTCGGTGAAGAGCTGCTGGGAGCTGGTGATCTTGAGAATGGAGTCGACCATTTGGGTAACGCAGTCGCCGTTTGCGGCCAGCCCAATGAGCTGCTCCAAGTACTCCAACAAACTTTGCAACCACAAGTGTTCCATCTCTTAATCCAACGACTGCCACAGATAGCACCACGTATTGTCGCACAAGAACGGCAAATGCAAGAAGACGACGTAGAATAAGAGGATTTATCTATTTTTCGTTGTTGCCTAGTCTCACATGGTTAGAAATATATAAAAAAAATATATATTAAAAGAATACGATTCGTTTTTCTTCTTCACATTGATTGATTCATTATACTTATTGTATTGTCATTACTACGTTTGTTGCTCTCTTATTCATTATGTTGTAAAAAGTGCATATGCTCAAGCAATAATTAATATTTAAACAGAAACCTACTATTGTTGTTATTATGAAAGAAGAAAAATTCGAAAAAAAAATTGATTGAAATAAATACAATATTTCTCTAAAATATTTCTTGTTCTGATACTACTACAACCCTCATTTGTAGCTTCCACAACAAACTTGTTGCGCCAGATTATGTTATCTATTAAGAAATCTACTAATATATCTACCATCAAGTATGCATTTACAAGTCAGAGATTAGCTTTTATATTTCATACATTTAAATCTGCTTCTTTTCTATCTGATTGAAACAGCAAGTATATCTTACAAAAAAGGAAATGAAAGAAATTTGGGATATATCAACACCAAATTTCTAGACTGGATATTGTTGAAATGAAAATACATATATCATTTCAACAACATCCATGTTTAATTATGCAATCGTATATAATAATGAAAATATTTACGAAAACACAATTTTAACGTTTTTTTTAATTGTAAGAAAATCTTTATTAGTCACAATTCACAAATCTTTAATATTTGTTAGGTGTTCTTCCACTTATTGTTCCAGCAGTTCATATAGTTTCTCAATGGGGGACCATCCTCTCTGAAATTTCTATATACTCTTCTGTTCACTGTAACTGCTTATGTAATTTACAAATCTCAATATATTTAATAAAAAAAAGATTTGTTGTATGCGTGACCTCAAAACAAATATAAGAGATTTTTATTTATCTTGTTAAACCAAAAAAACTATACGCGCTTGGTAAGTTATAACTACTATAAATAAAGTAATCAAAAACGAAACGTGCTCTAATTAGATTGCTTATATCGTCTGCAATAGCTGACATATTGCTAGCATAATTTTTGTTTGTCTATTGATTGTTTAGTATTTCTTAATTAAATAAACAAATATGATACGCAGTACTTTTGATAGCGTTTTTTGTAATAATATACAGAAACACAAACTTCTGTATTTAATTTTCATCTTTCTGTTTGCTAAATTTTACAACAAAAGAATTACAAATAAATGGAATATTGTTATCAAACGAATTTCAAAAAAAATAACAAGTATTTAAAAAAATCTAAAAGCACACTTGAACTTATAGTTAAACTTTTGTCGTACACTTAAGTAGTTATTGTGCTTTGGACTTTATTAAAAAAATAATCTAATTTATATCAATAATGTGGATTTATTATTTTTGAAAATTATGAAATGGTACTGTTCTATGCAGATTTGTAATTATACTGTGCAATTTCCTTAGTGACGATGATTTTACCAAATATTGGAACTATTCATTCCGTTTGAGTTCTAATACGAAAATTAACACTTTTATATTCATTTTTAATTATGTAAAAGCTTTTCCAGGTGTTTTTTGCTTTGTCGACTAAAAATGAAACGTTCTTATAGTTAATGGATCTTACAAAGGCAGCAATAAGTAAAAATTGGAAAAATTTATTTTGTGGCGTATTAAAAAAGAAACATAAGATTGCATAAGATCTAGTGCGTTTTGTCCGTTAAATTTTGTGGAACTCATACGTCGTAACGGTTTATGCAACCAAGCATAAAAAAGATCTGGTAGATGGTTGCTTTTGATATCTCTTTTAATTCATGTGTCGCGCCTTGATTTCATTATTATTACTAACAGACCTTTAAGGCTAGAATCACCAGCTCTAAACTTAACTAATTTCTTTCGCACAGATCTTTCAGTTAAAGCAACTTCTTTATAAACAGCATCTATCTTAGATGCCTTTAGTGGCATTCTTGCTTTCCAGTATTAGACAAGTGTAAAAGTTTAAAATGCACTTTGTTTTCTTCTATATTCATGAGAGTACTAAACTGACAAACATAATTTGATTTGAAACAAACTTATTTTCTAAAGACGCTTGAAATGTTACCTTTCAGAATGTGTACCAAAGTCAATAGTTTTTAACTTATGATTTATTCAGGCATCACAAATAGCACTTTCGCGAAATTGGCATGAACTTTCCGGATAACCCAATATATTGATATGCTGTAACATATCGTATCCACTGCATATTCACGTAATCATCTTTAATATACATTAAGTATGATACATACTTATTTAAAGAATATATTTTTTTATTCTTAAATGTATTTGTTAACAGGTATTTCGGTAATTACTACTAATAATTTTGATATTGTCTTTATTTACATCATTCAAATTAATCTTGAGAAAGAATAAAATCTTCACTAAATCCAAAAACCTTAGTAATTGATTTAGCTATTAAGCAGTCTACAAAATTGTAGTTCTTTCTTCCTACGTAAGAATTCTACAAATCAAAATAATTAAATATATAAAAACTTCACTTACAAAATAATTACCAATAATACCATTAACGATTGACAATAGTAGCAAAAAAAGAAAGAACAAACAAGATTATTTTTTAAGAAATTTTATTGTGACACAAAAAATTGTTGTGAACAAACGTAGTAATATTCAAATCGAAATAAATTTGAAATAAAACTCTCGCTCCGACAGTTTTAAAAATGAAGCTTTATTATTATCATTAAATACTCAAATACTTATATAAATAGTGCACCCTTTTTTGGATGGGCGGGCGCGGGGATGAGTGACAGTCAAATCAAAAGGCTTGAAGAGAGAAACAAAAATTATCATTATTATTATAATTATATGTTGTTGTTGAGGGAGGATACATTGGGTTGGAGGAAACTATTGGCGATCGGTAGCACGCAGTTTCTCTTCGACGGCCTCCTGGCTGGCCTCCGACAAGTCTGTTGCCTGAATGTACTTTTGTACACCGACTAATGATTTCTTAAGAGCATCGAAAGAGCTGAAATAATACAAAAAAATACATCAATTACTACTAAAGTACAAAGTCACATCAATATGTCTGTCTATCGTCCTCTCTCAAATATATATAGGACCGACATCGACCACGCAGCACTTGCGCCATGTGCATTTTCTGTCTGCGGAAAATATATTGAACCAAGGGTGATTTTTTTTTCCTTCTCCCCTTCTGTATCATTTTAGAAATCCCAAGTGAAGGATTTCTCCAACAAATCATCAGCAGACCATTCCCAATAATTACGAATAACATATAATAAAATATATATTATCAGCTAAAACTTCACATATATATATATCTATATATATATTAAATTCATTATCAGAAAGCAACAAAAAAAATATGTACAACTTCATACATTTTGTTTATCTATGTCAAACTATAATATACTAATTTAATGCGAAACGCAAAAAGACGTTTTCCAATCATATACATTCATATTTATTTAAAGAAAAATTTATCAAAGATAGATAAAATATGAATGAATAATTTTATTAATAACTCGTAATGTATTTTCTATATTTGAAGATGAAACAATTTATTTTGTGAGAACAAATATGTGAATGGTTTTCATTATAGAAGTTATATTTCAACTATATACCGCATGATATCGGTTCTAAAATGGCCTTCGAATAATAATCTAATCATAGAGCACAGCATAATATATCACAAGCAGCCATATAATTTTTGAAATATAATTTTGGTTAAGACAATCTCTTGAAAATAGAATGATTAGAAATTGAATTGAGTTTATATTTAAAATTGTATTAACTTATTAGGAAAACTTTGCAGTTGAAAGTTGAGCAATTACAATGGTATGTATAGAATATACGATTTACTTCACAACTTGCTAGACACAAAAGTGTTTAACTCTTGAAAATAACTTTCTAATTACATTATAAAAAAATAATATGACGCATCCCGACAATATCCATAAGCAACGTTACATAATTATAACAAGCAATTTATTCATTCAAGTGCAACTTTACAACATAGGTGCTTAAATGCAAGGTTTTCTATTATCTAAGCATTAATTAGCAATGTATCAAATATACAACAATTCGTCTTTTTTCAATTTTGATTAATACAACTATAACAAATGTTACAATCATAAAATATTATGTTAGTTTATATTTTAATTAATAGCAAACATCGCAAATTTTCAGTTATATTTCAAATTTGCGAACTTATGAATTTTATAAATTTTAATGCTTAGTGGTTCTTATTGAGAGTTAATGTTTCCAGTGTATACGTCGATCAAATATTTTGAGCAATATCTTACCTTGAGTACAACATCTTCTTCTTGACTTTGGCAGTGTCTGGACACCAGGACATAAGGAAGAGCTTCTGTTTCTTGGATGATTCAGAGGTGCCCTGGCACTGATGCATGTACTCGAAGTCATAGAGGCCGTAGCGGCATTCACCAGCACCACCAGCCTGAAGGTCCGTAAGGAACTTATCGTACTCCTCATCGCGAGCTCCGATCACCTCAACATCGATCTGCCTCTCATCCTTGATGAAGAAGATCACATAGCGATGCTTCTTATCCTTTTTGATCTCTTCATAAGTTGTCTTGCAGGCATCCGAAACCGTCACACCCGATGCCTAACGGAACCAAACAAAAAAAAAACAACATGATGAGGATAAGGAAAAGAGCAGCACATTCCGTATAATTGAATTATAAATCAAAAAATTAATTCGCGTGAAGAATGAAATCCGCGTATAAACAGAGTTCATTATCGTTAATTAGTAATACTTAAAAAATACTAATTATGGAAGAAAAATCAGTAAAAATTGCGAATAATTAAATTTTGTCCCAAATAATATAGAAATGATTTATACGATCGAATGAATAATAGAATAATTATGACTCAAACTTTGATAATTTGAACACGGGTGATTCAATGACGAGATAAAGTCACGCCATCTTTTCAGAAAAGGAATGAATAATATTCAAGCGCGTAGTAGAAGACAGGAAACAGAACTTTAAAAAAATAGACAGGAAATGCACCATTTGAATACCTAAAATTTTAAGGGAAAAACATGTCCTAAATATTTTTTTGTTGTTAATGTAAAAGACAAATTATGTTTTACTAATATAACGTCAAACAAAAAAAAAACTTTGTTTTTTAACACATTGGATATCAACAGTTCTAACTCAATTTTCCAAGAATCGGATTAACAAAACTGATTTTCTAATTTCATTGTTAATGTTGTTTAAAAACATGAATTTATAAGATTGTAATTTTTGATAACTATGATTTTATTTTTCTGCAAAATTTTGTCCTTTTGAACACTTAAGTTCATTGAATTATAGAAAGTAATTACTCATGGAAATGCCGCAATGAATCACAAACGTATTGGGAAAGTCAAGGTCTCGCTCTCGAGTCATTGAATGGATCAATTGTGAAATTTCGGTGGAAAAAATACTCCGAAAAGAGGAGAGGATAACAAAAATAACGACGGGCCCATGTGGTCGCCGGGTCTAGTCTAAAGAGTGAGCAGAGTTAACTCCCCCCAACCAACTAACTAACCAACTATGCTACCAACCAGCGTACCAACTAATTTTAGCCCAATCTATTTTAAATTCTATCCTAAAATTAAATACAAAATATCTTTTAATACTGAGCGCGCGGAGTGTCGAGAGATAAAGAGGAAACAACGCTGGGGGTAAAAAAAAAAGATCTCAGATCAAACAAAACAATACGTTATTGTTTTTCATAATAAAGAAATATGCGGCAATTGTTCGAAGATTATTTGTATAAATAACCGCATTTTTTTGAGGTTGATATTGGAGATTTGGTAGTTAATGAATTAATATGTTTCTATATGAAAGTGGTATGGGCGTCCAAAAATACTTTTGAAAGTTCGAAACGTGCAGAGGAGTGCTATTTGCAAATTTTATTAAATCCTCTCCGCACACACACGCACACTTTTGGATTTCGGCCAGAGAATGAAATAAATTTTGTTTGACAAAATCCTGTCCATACAAAGAGAGGGGAACCAAATTAGGAACACGTAAAACATGTTCCTTTCAACCGGCTATCGAACACGAGATTTTTGTGCCTTATGGTAAATCATAATTAGTTGTACTGGAGCATACGATTCTAATTGTTCTGAATTGAGAATATAATTCATTCAATTATTAACAATAATCATTGTGCAAACGATTCAATCGGATCGGTTATAAACTAATTAAGGAAACGGAACTTTTTAGCAAACCAAATGTTACGCGAGATAATTGGTAACGATGGACAAAAAAAAATAGTGAAAGTCATTAAAAATTCGCAAACTGGTTCCAAAAAGAGACAGGTTAATCAACAGCTAGCTGTTGTTTTTAATGATATATGTAGAGTTAAAAATATGAGATTAATTGAAAAATGCTATTATTCATCTCACTGATAAGGAACGTGGAAACAAACTGATCATATCATTGGATCTTTAAATATAATTATACAGTTACACATTGTTTGCAATCCATTATGAATACTGCGCATCATTAAATCTTGAATTTCATAACAATCAAATAAAAATGCAAGTGTTGTTTTACATTATTTACTGGATAATCGTGTTTATATCTAATATTAGTCACGTTCATTGATAAACTGGAAATTTCTATGATTTACTGATTACACTGATGATTTGATTCGCAAAAACAATTGATTTACATACTTGTAAAATGTGCATGTAAAATTTATTTGTTAAAATGTGCTGAGAAGTGCTATGGTGTTCTAGATCAATCGATATAAAATTAATGTTCAAGAATATGCGTTAATTTGAGAACGTGGTTAACTTTATTATATAGGCTAAAAAAATGTAATTGTTATTAGAATACATGAGTTTTACACTTTTTCGTGTAATTTATCAATTATATATTATCAGGAAATTATCATTCCTTGAAGATTGCATAAATTATCTGATTGAAGCAAAATATGTTCTTCCAAGTGTGCAAAGCTGAATAATTAAATTGAATCGGTTTTAAATTAGAGTCCACATAGAAAATTCCTTAATTGATGAATATGGTTTACAGTTTTGTTTCGGTATAATTGATTAACGGTACGTATCTGACAGACTGAATTTCTTTATTATTAATAGATTGCATTATCTAATTGGCAAAAACAATTGATTTGCGTGTAATGTCTTTTTGTTAATAAATTGTTGTTTTGAGATGTTATCCGGTTTTCTAGTAACTAGAATCTAGTTGAATTGGACCGCTTGAAAATTAGAGTCCACCCACTACACATTAAGAATCTGCGTTAATTGGTAAATATGATTTACAACAGTTTTGTATCGGTGCAATTGATGAATGGTATGTTATCATAGAGATAAATGTTGAAACGAACAAAAAAAGCGCTTCGAAACGTATGGAATGAGAGAACAGACCCTTAGGCGAGTAGAGTATGGGCGAGGCGTCGAAATGAGTCATTGCTGGCACCTTTCGGCGATGCAAATTGCAAGAAATGCGGCGAAAAGGGTGGCGGATCAGGGAAAAGTGAAGCCCTTCGTAGACGGCAAAGCGACTTCCGGGTCGTGGTCCATATTTTTTTTGCGTGCATTCGTGCGAAATTAGAAATGAAATGGCGACCGGCTAAACGCAACCGCCAACCGACCGAGATTCGCCGCTACCAAGGCAACACAAGAAACGAAAACGCGAGTGCTGGGAATCGCGGAAGCTACGGACACGACGGCCAAACGGTGTTCAAAGTATATACAAAGATCTGGTGTTCTTACCATATTGAATTAATTGGAGAGGTAAAATTTAAAGGGTATCAAATGAAGCAGATGCACCCTGCTGCCAACTTGCTCAACTGTGGTCTTTGGAGGTCTAGCGGACGTTGATCCACCGGCGTTGACACGAGCATGCGCGCCGTCGTTCCGATTACTACGCCTCGCCGCCACCAATCCAACACAGTCAGAAAAAATAAAGACAGAGAAGGACATATCGACAAAGTAAGTGACAGAGCGAGAAAGGAACAATATGAAAGACCCAATGAGAAAAAAAATAAAACCAACGGAAACCGGAAAACTTCCCCGCGACCACCACCAGCCACCAGCGCCGGAAACGGGCGCCCTCTCCTACGGAACTGCCGCTCCCCACCAGAACTACTTTTCGTCGCGTTGCCTTTTCTAAATTACAAAATCAGTTTTCAGCCGCTTTTCCGGCTCAAAAACCCGCTTTCCGGTACTGTAAACCGTGTTTGCGCAAACCCTGTCCTTGGGGGTTGACGGAGTGAGTCACACCCGCTCTCCACCAATCTTGGAGCCGGCCACCTCGGATGCCCATAAATGGTAAACGGACGACCGTCGCTCCAAAATGGCCGACTAGCAGTTGAACTTTGCCGCCACGCCCAACCGACCAATCAATAACAGACGCAGCGACCTGCTGTACCTACCCATACTGTGCGCGCTAAATTCAAATTTAGCGTATCGGTAGTCCAAAGCAAAGTATGAGAAACGAGAACGAGAATGCTTTTAAATCACATTTATTTAATTCTTTACACACTTAGAGTATTATTAGTTGCCTACATCTTAGGCGCACATCGAGATTGAATGTTAGTTTATCTAACATATACAACAAATACCTTGAATAACTTGTCTTAACTGTCGGTTATAGTATGTATATATATATAATATTTATATGTAGCATAGTGATATATTTAATTTACACTTAATAATTCGTAAAGTAATTAAGTCTAGTACGATAATAAAAAAATAACGATTTTTTCCTCAATATATCAATACCTTAGAAGCGACAGGAATCGCTAAAAAAACTGTTCATTAGGCAGACCATTTAACATCCATGTTCCTACACAAGAAGTAATTGAAATAAAATAAAAATGATCGGGTTTTCTTAAAATATTAAAATATATTTTCTTTTCCGGAGGATCGAATGTGTCCTCGCTTAACATGAGTAAACTATCTTGATTTATTAAAAGATTTAATAAAAATGAACGTGTGTATGTGTGGTCTCGTCATCAAAAATAGTAATTAAAAATAATAATAAGTCACGTTTGAAACTTAATCCCTAGCTTAAAAAAAACAAAAATGAATACTTCATTATCATACTAAAAAAAAAACGGAGAATTATGTTGTATATATATAGTTGTTCACTTCTTGAACTTGAAAATGATACGGTAAGTATCATTCCCCATTTTCAGTGTATACTAGATGAGTCCTCTCTTCTTTTTGTAATCCTGCAAATTCAGGCTCCGCCTTGGTCCCAAGCTGTTCGTTGTAGAGTTTTTCACGGTAACGCTGACGGACTGAGCCGATGGGAGCGGCAACTCGAGATCGATCTTGATGTCAAAGTCGTGGGCGGAGAACAGGTCATCCTGGGTCACCTGGGCTGGAGTGGCTTTCGGTTTCTCCTTTTCTGACTCCTTTTCCTCTGGTTCCGCGATCACTACCGTAGCTGTCTCATGGGCTTCCTCTGGGGCAGCCTTGAAGTTCATCCGCGGTTTTGTTGAACGCCTCGTGAACGGATCATCAATCTTTTTACCCTTGTTGGCACGCACTTCTTCCATAATAGCCTTTTCTGCTTCCTCCACATTTCGTTTTCTATTTCGATCATTTATGTACGAAATGCTCGATATCGTCGAGGTTCGCATTTTGTCCAGTTCTGATGCACGTTCCTCGAGTTCTGCAATCTTCTCATTGTACTCGCGTGCCTTTTCTTCGTCTCCTCTGCTTAGGGCGGAATCCCTCTCCTTCATTAACTGTGTCTTCTTCATTGCGTAATTGTAAGTTTTCTGCTTGAAACGATCCTTTTCTTTCAGCTAATGAGATAATTCAAATCAAATTTGTAAGTTAATATTGAGCATAACATTGGGATGTATGAGGGTGGGGCACTTACGATTCTGTCCACATCTTTTTCGTTATATTCATAATTTAAAGCTTCTTTGATATCTGCCTGCTTTTTTGTTATCTCTTCTTTAGTGGGCAAAGGTGTGGCTGCCTGAGCAGAGGCTTCCACCCACTTCTGGTACTCGCCCTCAGTAAACTCCTGATTTGAAACGAACTCCAGCCTGAACACTCTCTCACCTTTGCCGTGTCTGACCTTGCAGCCCTAAAAACGAAAATCAATAATTTCAGGGGATTTATTAAATTGCCAATGTTGGTCATATTGGTTTATATTTAAGTAGATGTGTCACACTGTCACAGCATCACTAAATATTGATCGACGTTTCTGATTCTTTTCTTACCTTGTTTGTTCTCGTATTTCCCAAGTTGTAAATTTTTGCCGTCTCGTGTACTCCAGTTATTTCAGCTGCCCTGTAGACTGGTATATCTTTGTGTTGACCGATACCGATACGAATGAAGCAACCTTTAACAATACGATCGAAGAACGGTAAATGTACGAATTTTTCCAATTTATGTCTAGAGAGACGAATCAAGTTCAAGTCCGCTTTCGTAGGAATATATTTGGTTTTAGTACGTTCTTCGTCTGAAGGTTGTTCGTTATCACTGGAGCTCGAGCTAGAAGACCTTGAGGAACGTGACCGTTGGGATGGTGCCCTGGATTCTTCGGCAGATCCTTTATTATCACTATCACTATCATCGGAGTAGATGTCAGAAGCTTTTAATTTAATATCATTTTTCTTTGAAGATAGACTAGCATCTTCCTCGTCCTTCTTTCTTTGCTCCTCCCTTCTGGCGCTTTCCAATTCTTCTCGTCGCTGTTTACCTTCGCGACGTGCTTTCAATTCTGCCATAGCATTCACCCTCTTATCAACTTTCCCGCGGTTCTCTTCGATGTTCTTTTTGCGTTCTTTACTCCTTTCTTTATGGTCTATTGAGCTAAAATCATTCTGTAAATTCTTCGTGTTATCCTTTTCCTTGTCCTTATCCTTGGGTAACTTCTCTTTGGGCTTCTCCTTTGCTCGTTCCGCCTTTTTGGCTTGCCTCAGTTTCTTTTCAATTTCAAACCTACACAATTGGCACAAGGTGTCTTTAATTTTTATCTGAAATTATTCTCACTTGTCATATTCATTGAAAACTCACCTGTGTTTCATCAATTCCCTTTGCTCGATACGTTTATAAATTTCAGTCTCTCTCTCCTTCTCCGTGAGACTTGCCAGCCTGGCCCTATCCTCTTCGTCTCCCATGAGCTGATCATCGTATCCGTCATTGAACTCCTCTTCCTCAGAAGAATCCGACGAATCGGATACTTCTCCTTCTTCTGGCTCGGAATTATGGGATTTCTCTTCGACTTTAGGTTCTTCATCTTCTTCCTCCACCTCCTCTTCCTCCTTCTCTGATTCAGAAGATACAGAGCTTCGCTTTTTGGGTTTCTTCGGTTTGGTGTGGGTAGGTTCCTCTTCGCTCTCCGAATCCGAATCAGATCCAGAGCTCATATTCTCCCTCGGTGATCTCTTCCGTTTGCTCTTCTTCTTGGCCAGATTCAAGAATTCCTAAAAAAAAGAAAACACACACAATAAATCTACTGGGTAACTCTTATTCACATCCAAAACTGACTGAGGCCATGGCAGTGTGGTCCATTACTAAATATAAAAAGCACGCACTCAAGGATCTCGTTCTAAAAGTAGAGACAGACAACCTGTGGTTTGTTGGCAGTCACTTTTGACAGAAAAAACGAGAGCCGTAATAAAAATACGCCAGTCGCGCAAAACGAGTTATTAGGAATAGTTGAGCTAAAAAAAATCTCTTCAAACTTTTAATTATTGAAATCGTAAGTAAACTGAACAATCATTCTTTCATAAACATTACGAAAATGAAATATTTTACTGCTTAAATTTATTTAAAAAAAAAACTTGTTATTTAAAGGAACACATGATATAAGAATTAATATTTAGAGGAGGGTATCACTACCAAATGATAGTAATTTAATAGTCACAAAGCTGCAAATAATATGTAAACAAAATCTAGAGTTCCTAAATTAATTTGATTACTATTTAAATTTTGAGATAACAGAAAGAAATTGATATATTAATACCTACAGCATATTCAGGGTCCAATAAATAGTCATAATATTAATAATAGTATTTATTTAAACTACATTAATATAACTAAATAAATAAACAAAATGCTAATTATGAAATAGATTCCATAACAATTTCAATGTACATATTAAACATTCCAATTGATTTATATCCTGTTGACTCACCAAACAGTAAAACAGATTATTTAAGTACATTATTTTTATATATTTCAATAACAATTTATATATTACTATTAAATTTGGCAGGTCAATAAGATACTAGCTAATTGTTTTTAATGAATTAGTGCAAATAAAAATATTGAAAAAAAGCATATTTTTATACAATTATCTTCATTATTAATACAATAACTCCAATATCTTGGTACATAAATTAATAATTTATCTTGCAGAATACAGATTGTGAGCACAAATAAAATCAATTTACTCATATATTGATCCATAATTAATGAATAAACTATTTTTTGTGAGACTGATTTATTTGATTGGTCAATTAAGTGAAATCTCTTTTTGCTGTTAACAACATGATTGGACACAAGAAATTATTGTGTTTATTTATTGGGTGATGGAAATATTTTTTGTGAATTGTTTTTCCCTGGAACAGAAGTGTGCAACAATGCATGTAAAGGGCTGGTCCCTGGAAATCAGCATCAGATCCAAAATGGTTACATGATCTGTAGGGGATGTTGCTACATGAAATTCTGATATTTCCCAAAATTGTGTACAACTTGAATGTGACATTAGACCAAGGCTGAGGTTATATTATCTGGTGGTTCGTTTGGCACAAACAATTACCGAGTGCCCGATGAAACAAGAAAAATCAATTCATCTGGCGCGGCCAGCGTTATCGACTGGGCTACTCGCCCTTTTTTTCCTCAACATCATCATTTCACTTTGTTCCGTTTGTTTGATGTCTAACCTACAAAAAAATATGCAAATGCCACTCACACTGTCCAGATCGCTAGTTGAGTCGTTGCTCGAGTCCGAGTCGATCAATGCTTGGTTCTTGCGTTTCCCCATTGCGAAATAACAGCCCAAAGGATCACCTACTTTTCAAGAACCCGGGAATGCAACGCACCTCAGTCAGCAGCAAAACATCCACCTCAAATACAAACGGTCGCGTTGCGAAACTGAAAATTGCTGCTGCTGCTGCGCCCCCGACACCAAAACAAGTGTCAATAAACGGCGGCTGACTTCATGCGCAGCGGCTACAGAAACGCGCCATTTTGGAAAGGGATGAAAACAGGACAACAATAAATTCAATTATATTGTATCATTTTAGATATTAAAAGTAGGTTGTAAAAGAACAAAACAAAATATTGTAAATCTTTAAATATTATTATTATTATAACAATGCTTCAGTTCTGACAATGGTTTATTTTTTTCAAAATTTGATTATTGTGTTAACTTAGCTCAAACATGACGATAAGTCAAATCTTATCAATAAATCTCTTGCCAATATAATTTTATTGAAAAATCAATATTTATCTTTGTTTTTATATTCTTATACTGTAGGATTCGCAATGATTATAATTTATTGGATAATGAATTTCTGAACTGCTCAGAACAATACGCGCGTTTTTTCTCTGTGTATATGCGTTATTTTAACAGGACCGTGCCTACGGATTTGGGCGCACAGGTTAATGCTAATCTTAATATTGTTTATAATTAAGCTTTATATGTGGCTATAATAAATGATCCGATATGTGACTGGCAAACGGGTCGACAGGACCCAGCTAAATGTGAAGGGGTTTCCAGAAGAAGACTCATTATTGGAGGAGGAAGAAGAAGAAGAAGCTTTATATGTTTATATGTAAGAAAAACCCTTAGTTCTTTAAAATTGAACTCTTGAAAATATTTTCGAATTTTAATATTGAATCATGTTATGTAGATTTATTTTCTAAATTTATGCGATATTTACATTCAATTCAATATTAAAAACAATGTTAATTAAAACAGATATTGAAAATAACTATTTAATCTTATTAAAATATTTCGTCAAATTAGTACATATTTTTTTTGTATAATTGACAATACAGAAATAATACATGTTTGAAATACCTTAGGAAGACGAAGAGAAAACAACAAGAAATAAGTTTATGGTACAAATGTATTATCTTAAAGATTATAGTTTCTCGATATGGACATCTAAGAGGAAATGATCAGAAAAAATAGCAGATACTAAGCTACGAATGAATTGCAGTATATGCATTTAATATACAATTAACACATGTTGTTATTATTTAAATTTTCTGTTTTTCATTTTTCTACAATTTTCAATCGATTGTGGGACGATACATATTATTTAGACTAGAAACATATTACACATTTACAAAAAATATGTGTAATTATTAAACTATTTAAATGTTTTTACTTCCATATTTTATTTTAATTATTCTACAATGCGTTGATTTTCATATGCTGACGTGTACCAAATGTATAAGAACTAAATAGTGCTTTGAAAGTTGATAAGATTGTCTCAAATATTGTTTTAATGTTTCTTATTAAAAACTAATTTATTAATGGTTAATGCAGTTTTTGTTGTATTTAATGCAGATCATTTCTGAAGAAGCTATTGGTTGCTTGGGGTTGGTAGCAATATGCAGCGCGTCGATTGTTTTGTATCGTCGGATGAGCGAGCTGTCACCTGCTGTGTTATTAATTGTCTCCGATTGTCTCGTTACGTGTACGTGAGAAAAAAGAGAGGTGAAAATGGGTTTTCCAATTAGAATTCGGCAATTTGGCTAATGAGCTTGTTATGAGTCGAAGACGGATCAGGTAATTGCAGCACGACGTACCGCCCATCCCCCCGTTCGCTGCCGGCACTTCCAGATTCATTGTTTTGTTTTGATCATTTCAGATTTTAATTGTGGGAAAAGCTAATGTGATTTAAGCATGTCCGGTGGGCTAAATAAGAAGAAGGTGAATAAGACTCAGGGGTGGGAAGTTGCTGGGTCCGAGTTTTACCAGGAAAGCTACCCATCAAATGCAGCAGATTTTGATGTACTGCAGCAGAACCCCAAGCATCTGGCCACATTGCTACCGAGTAAACAGAACCGGGCAGGTGAATATCAAGAGTATTGTGGTTATTGCAATGTTATTAACCAATTTTATCACTTATTATTATTGGTCTTAAGGTCTTGCTAATCATCATAATTGATTCTATTCCACATATTGGTACAGCATTACAAATATCCTACAACAAACAAGACAGGATTTATTTTATTTTTTGGCCTTCTAGCTTTCTAGGCTATTATGGTCAATGTACTTAATCAATTATTAATTTCAGCTACTATAAAGCTGAGAAATAACAGTGATACAAGGACATTTCGGAGACAGCAATCCATGCGCAGGGAATCCACTTTCAGGAGGGCCTCAGTGGCAGCAGAAGTGCAGGTTGCCATGATGCCTGATCTCTCACAGAATCTGTCCAATGAGCAAACTACATGGCAGGAAATCATGGAACTGAAGGCAATGCCCATTCCAATGGCACAAAAGAGAGAAATGAAATCAAAGTTGCAGGTAAATTACTTTATTTATTATTTTTTATTAGTAATTGAATGTATTATTTTTCATTCATTTTTGTTGTTTATTTTATTATATTTACTAAGACTATAAATTATAAAATAACGTTGATTAGTAGTAAATTTAACTTGCTGACAAATAAATCAGGTGATTTATTATTACTTGTTTTGAATATATTAGACTGTTTACAGAATTGTATTAAAGATGAAGGTCAGAATTTTTATTATGGAGCAGGGAGATGTGTATTTTTTATATCTTTTTTGTAAAGGACATACTCAATAATATTTGTATTGCTTTTAGAATGAACCTAACCTACGTCTGCAAGGATACGAACAATTCAAATGGAAACACAAAAGGATGCTGGAGAAGTTCAAGTTGCGTTTGAACGAGGCGTACCAGAAGTTGGAATTGTGGCGTGGAACTTTGAAAAATATAGAGGGAAATTTTGGTACGGGAGTCGTGGCCTATTTTCTGTTTATCAAGTGGCTAATGCGGTTAAATCTGTGCATGTTCGTACCGCAGTTCTTTTTCGTGATATTACCGATGCTCCTCTCTCAAGAGAAGGCTCCTGTAGAATGCTCGGGTGGTGAAAGGAACTCTACGGAGTGTTGTACAGCCAACTACTTCAACAGTAGCAGCGGTTCCAATCTCGTTCTGGATTTGTTCCAGGGCAGAGGGGAAATGGAGAAAACCGTGTTCTTCTATGGACCATATTCAAACGAAACCTTACAGTATTATTTAAACGGATCTCAGATGTATTACAACCTGCCTCTAGCTTACGTCGCTGTGCCAATATTCTACTTTTTGTTTTCGCTGATCGCCATTGTAAAGGCGGCAGCAAAAGGCTTCAAGGAGCGTTTGGTGGAAGGCGAAGGTCAATTCTATCACTATTGCAACCTGGTGATTTGCAGCTGGGATTTCTGCATTGACAACAAGAAATCAGCGGGAAAAAAGCAGGAGGCTATATTTAAAGAGATTAAGTCTAGTTTAGAAATCGAACGACTGGAAGAAGAGCGAAAGTGTAGGACGAGGAACGAGAAGACAAAGTTGTTAGCGATCAGAATTGTCGTTAACTTTGTTGTGGTTTTGATACTATTCCTTGGAGCTGCCATAATATACTTTGTTTTTGATTTTTCTACCAACAAATTAGTCGATTACGTGGGAAACTCCATTTCCTTCGACACCGACAGCATCTTGAGGCTGTTCTATGAATTCCTCCCATCCATAATCATAGTGTTATTGAATATGACTGTACCATTTCTGTTTCAATATTTGGTAAGCTTTGAGAATTACAGTCCAATTTTCGTGGTTCGATTGACGTTGGTGCGAACGGTCTTCTTGAGATTGTTCTCGCTTTTCGTACTTTACGCTTCACTTTATAAGAAAATCTCATGCGAGAGAGAGGAAGATGAGTGCACAAGTACTAGTTGTAATACACCTATGTGCTGGGAAACCTTCGTCGGCCAACAGATGTACAAATTGGCGTTGACTGACTTCGCCACGCACGTATTCATCACGTTCGTAGTCAACTTTATTCGGTCAAGGATTGGGAGGTTGGAAAATAGGTTCGCGAAATTAATTGGGGAACAATATTTCGACTTACCCAAACACGTATTGGATGTGGTTTATCTGCAAACCGTTTCTTGGTTCGGAAGTTTCTATGCTCCCTGCTTACCAGCCCTCTTTACCATTATCTTCTTCGCCATGTTCTTCGTCAAGAGGTTCGCGTGTTTGGTGAACTCACGACCTAGCAGCACCGTTTACAGAGCATCTAGATCGAACTCTATGTTCATGATTGTTCTCCTGGTTTCATTTATATTCGCACTTATCCCAGTTGCGTTCTCCGTAGCCGAACTGGTACCGTCCAAATCGTGCGGTCCGTTCAGAGGATTGAATTCGGTGTGGGAGGTAGTAACCGTCGCATTTCACTACACTCCACATTGGATTCAAAAAGTGGTGTTTTTCTTGAGCACCGCCGGCTTCGGCATTCCGGTTTTCATCGTTCTCTGCTTGACACTGTATTATTATATTGCGGTGACATCTGCGAATAGGCACATGGTGGTGGTTTTAAAGCATCAGCTGGTACTCGAAGGTCACGACAAGCAATTTTTGCTGGAGAAGTTGAGCTCTTTCATCAAACAGCAACAGAAACGCTCAAGACAGCCCGAGGGCGATCGAAATGTAGTGAGCAATTAGAACAAAATATTAAATATTTACAAATTCTCTAATTGACAAAGGGAAGCCCACTCCCTTTTTCTCTCACTCTCGATATATTGAAGTTTTTAGGGTTTTAAAGAAAATCAAGAACAAAAGTTTTTAGTCATTGGGCATTAATATTTCATTCGAGAGTTCCGACTGATTTATGTATTGTAATTCCTCATAAACGTACTCTGCCATTACAATGGTCCAAAAATAAATTATTTAATTGATGATTCTCAATTGCGAAAAACGCAGCTAGATCTTCCAAGTTTTACTCTTTAAGTATACAGGGTGTTTTAAAAACAACGGCAAAAGAAACGCGTTCGTTCGGTAGTCTGCATATATATATAATAAGTTAATTTTCTTATTTTATCATATAAACATTTAGACCAGTGTCTTCTTACATATCCTTTGGAAAACACTGATTTAGATTTAAATTTGTACCGATGATATTATTAAACAAGGCTTACAAAATAGGACACACGGCACACGATTTTTCTCTTGCTTGAACTGTATATCATTTTTAAACCATATATCTTGTTTCCATTACAAATTATTTTTTTTCCTTCATTCGCCATTGTGATAGTAACAATAGTTCCTTTATTTATTGTATTTATTTTGTAAACTAGTCAAATTGATGGTAGTTTAGTTTCAATCAAGATCTACATTATTGTAAATAATTTTGAGGATAAAATGAAAGTGGAAACAAAGTAATAACATGTAATCATTATCGAACGGTGCTTAAAATTAACATAAATTAACGAAATTTTGTAAAGAAAAGAAAAATTATTTATATGTAATCATAGGTGAGTCGCCGTCTTATTAAACCTTGGCGTTGTTGGCGATTCACTTTCCAAACAGAACCCTTTTTCAGTAGAAGGGTTTACGCTCAAAATAGTGCTTCTGGCTCAACGAAAACATGGTTAATAAAAAAAAGTTTCATTTTAAGCACTCTCACACGAACAATATTTATTATACATATTTATATAAACATATTCTATATAAATACTTGATAATCGAGATAGGACATTAAACCTGCCAAGTAAACAATTATATAGCATTTGGGATGATTTTACATAGCTCACATATTACATTGTAATTGAAAGATTTGTATGTTTTTTTATTCTACACTTGAGAATTGTTTCTGGTGAACCCAGAATTTCATTTTTATTTTGCAAATGATTTTAATATTCTAGTCAAGTATTAATTTGTGATTTTAATCGATATTTTGTTTTTGTATATATTTAAAATAATGAATAAATTATTAATATTTTATTGTAGACTTTAATCTGTTATAACTCGCCTTATCTTATCTCGGTTTGCATGTTTTTATACTGGTAATATATGTCATCAACTAGTTTACAATGCAGTATGTTAATAATGATACTGGGGCGGACGATGAAGATGATATCGGTGAGTGTCTTAATGTTTACATTTATTGTATGTTTTACTTCCAATTTGTAGCAAACCATTTTAATGACCCAAGAAAAGAGGCTGTTTCCATGTGGATGAAAATAAAGTTAAGGAATAGTTTATTGGTAAATGAAAGCAAATTAAAACGTTGCACAAGATACACACATTTTTTTTTGTAGAATCGTGGATATGAGTTGGATAGTAATCGATCGGTTGGGAACAATAGAAATTTGTCGTCAACATCGCCTTCGAAGTTTTTCAGGAGATTTTCTCTATGGAGAAAACATTTCGATTTGATAGAAGATGAATTTGGAAATGGAACAAAAGCGTATTTTGTCCTGATCCGATGGCTGATGTTCCTGAATCTGTTTCAATTCGTTCTTTACTTGTTTTTTATCGTAGTACCATTTGTGGTCTTGGAGGTTGATGAGCCAAAATGTCCAGCGAATGCAACGAATTGCTGTCTAGTAGATTATCTAAACGCTGACAATAACGGAAATTACTTCTTGGATTTCATTCAAGGGTCGGGGTACATGGAGAAAACTTTGCTGTTTCAAGGATTCTATAGGAATTCCGTTTACGAATACGAGTCGATCGATGGGAAAACCAGGTATTACAATTTGCCTTTCTTTTACGTCTGGACGACAATCGCGTACTTCTTCATATGCCTGTGCATAATTGTGTACGAGGCTTCGCAGGGATTTAAAGTGCAAATAGGCGATTCACTGTTGACATACAGCAAATTGGTTTTCGCCTCGTGGAATTACTCGATTAGAACCACCGAAAAAGCTTCAAAGAGAAGCGCGGATGTAAGAAAAAACCTCGAAGAGCTTTTGGTTAATGATTGTACGGAAACGACCAGGAAAAAGTACATAAAGAGTAATTACAATAAAGTGGTGACCATAAGGGTCGTGGTCAACATTTTGGTGGTGGTGATTTTGGCTGCTGTCTCCTTCGGTATATTTACTGCTTTCGTTTACTCTAACAATCAATTGAGCCCTGTTGATAGGGAGATATTTCATTTGAGCGATGTGATGAGATTTGTTTACGAGTACTTGCCTTCCGTGGTCATTTACCTCTCGAACGCCATTATCCCTTTTCTGTTTCAAGGTCTCATACGATTCGAACAGTACAGCGCAACATTCACCATCCGTCTGAATCTGCTGCGAATGGTTATCTTGAGGATGTTTTCTCTGTGCGTGTTGTATGCCACTCTTTACGCCAAAATAAACTGCGTCCCGGGCGAACTTGAATGTGGTTGTAACGACATCCTTTGCTGGGAAACGTTCGTCGGCCAGCAAATGTACAAGCTGACGCTCACCACATTTGCTCTTCAACTCTTGACCACCATCATCAACTATCTGCGTAGCCTTGTCGGTAAACTCAACCACAAGTTCGCCAAAACCATCGGGGAGCAGTCCTTCGACATATCCAACCATGTCTTGGACGTCGTCTACTTGCAGACTATAGCCTGGTTCGGAAGTTACTACGCTCCGTTGCTACCAGCTATATTCGTCATTGTATTCTTTTGTATGTTCTACATTAAAAAATTCGCATGTCTTGTTAATTCTGTGCCCACGATCCATCAAACCACCGAAACGCATTCCATGTTCATGTCGGTTATACTCGTATCTTTCATGTTTGCATTAGGACCCTTAGGTCTGTCCATTTCCGAATTGCAACCATCAAAATCTTGCAGCCCCTTCAAAGATTTTGCAACGACGTGGGATATGGTCATAAAAGCCTTTAACTCTCTGCCCAAAATCGTGCAGAACATTTTGTTTTTTCTCTCGTCGACGGCGTTCACTTTGCCAGTATTCATAATCCTGTGTTGCATAATCTACTATAAAATAGCAGTTATATCCGCTAATTCATCTAGAATTAAGAAACTACACGAGACTTTGCTGGCAAGGAAGGAAGACAATAATTTCATTAAAAAGAAAAAACGAATGATACACGAGCAAAGAAGATTTTGAATATGAATAAAAATAAAATATTTACTTTTCTTAATAAATTTAATTATAATTAAGGCAGAAATAACAGTTAATAATCCTTTTTATTTTAAGTAAATATTCCTACAAATATAGAACCTTTGATGACTACATGAGAGTATTTAAATACAAATAGAAGGAAATAATTATAGATTGACGTTATTTCTCCCTTGCAGTTCCATTTAGCCAGTGTATATTTGTTTTAAAAGCGCATAATTTAAAATTATGTACATCAGTATCCATTAATAATTTTAATTAATTTTATAGAATATTGTAATAATGAAAAACTGTATAATTGCTATTTAAATTGAATATGTGAAAGGAAATAAAAACAATGTAGATATAATGTAAAATAATTTGAGATTTATTTATTAGCAAGGCACTAAAGATGATTAAAAATATAATAAATTCCAAATTCAATATTAAATAATTTAGAAATAAAAAAAACGAACAAGTAATATAAGGCACTAAGTAGATTTAACTGTAATAAGGTAATTAAAAAACTTCTATTGAAGGCTTTGGTTGATGAGGCTCAACAGTGAACTGATCACTTTAGATAAATGTTAATCCCAAGTTCACTCCAAATCACAGATGAGTGGTATCCCTCATTATTTAAACACTTATAGTATTATCTAACTCTATTCATCTACAATAGGTGAATGCAACTGCAATAAAACAAGTTGATTAGTATATAGAAACAATGATCAGTTTTCTTAACTTACAGCTTCTGCAATATCAATCCAGTCAAGTGCTTGAATCATGGCATCATTTTTACTTGGTACTTTGTCCCAGTTCCACATTGTCAACTTATCAAATGTATGTATCACATAAAAATTCCTATCTTCCTTCTCAGTCATGGGTTTCATGCTCTCGTGCAACACAAGACCCTTGTATCCATCAGGTACATCAATTACTTTTCCCTTGAGGGGATAACCACGAAACGAGGCTGTTAAGTCTTAAATATAACAATTCTCAATAAAACATTCTTCTAGCAACAATTTCAATAATGTGAGCTTTTTCTGCATCCTCCTACAGTAGGTTAAAATAAACAAAATTTCATACTCACGGTTCTCTTTCTCCTTAACGTACGTTTCGAAGTACTTCTTCACTTTCGCATCGCAGTCCGCATGTATTTTAAAGGGGACAGACTGCAGTTTTGTCTGCAGATTTGTCGCGGTGGATCTTTTCCCGCTCTGGATGCGTATCGACATGTTGCTGACCAATAAATGAAAACTTCTATTCCGAAACCAACGAAACTCGATCAAAACAAACTCATTTTTTTTCTCTATTACTATAACCTAAACTTGTTATCGCAAATTTAATCTAAGATATTTGCAAATTGTTATCATTTGAATTAATATAATATTAATATTATACAGATATTAAAATTGTTTATTCATTTGTATTTAAATGGAAAGCAATTTGAAATATAAAAAGCACTCATTATGTAACCAAATATACACATATTTGTAAGATGATAATAAATCAGAGATAAAATAGCATCGAAAGAGTGGCAGAAATAAGGCCGTATTATTAAAAAAAAACAGAAAGTGAAAAAATGTCTTTCGCTGATAATTATTGGACATTGAAGTCACTGGGATTCAAAATTGATGTCGGTTTATAATTTGTGGGTTGAAGTTTGAGAAAAAATAAATCTCATTTGGTCGTAACTCATAACAATAGGCACATACAACAAATTTTCTAACTAAATCAGTTATGAAATGTATCATATCAGAAGTTAATTGAATCTGTTATGATTTATGAAGACAGATAATAAATATTCACTGTTGGTATTTTCAATTTAATATATTGTTGTAAAAAAATGCAGAACAGTCAATTGCATGAGTATTCTTGATTGAAGTGAGTTGAATACTCTTATCTAGTTAACAGTAGTTAGTAATATTTGTATATTTAAAAATTCTAACTTTTAGATGAATATTAATCAATTTGTCTCCTCTTATTAAAACTGGTTTAATTTAGGGAGGTTTGCTTCACTTAACTACGTCCTGACGACGCCGATCACAATAAGAAATACCGGATCCCATACAAAAAAGTTAATAATATTTTTCTTATCAAAATTTAATGTCATTATTAATCATGGTTAAAAGTGTTCAGGGGAAAGTTAATAAAAAATATATATATATAATTAATAATTAGCGATATTGCTTTTATTTCCACTTGAGAATATACTCTTCGAGCGATTGTTTGTGCTGTTCCCTGATATACGCCCGAAGTCCGAGCATAAGATGCCAGCTACTTGATCTTGACATGAAAATGCTATCTAACGTTTGGAAAAGACTTTGAATCTCGGAGTCGCCCCTATATTTTTTGATGGCCGAGACGAAGGAATCGTACTCTTTTACATTCAAATTCTTTTTAACCTGTAATCAGTTTATTGGCAGCTAAGTACAAAAAATAACAGATAGTTACAAATACTACCATGATCAAATAATCTTTAACATCTTGCTTCGTGATAGATTTGTTCTCTGTATCATCTTGTATTGGCTTGTTGGGGATTAGCGTGATTTTTCTGCGTTTTACTTGAAATGTGGACTCTTCTATTTCGCTAGATGAACTGCAAGAATTGCTGCATTTCGCAGTAGAATTTCCGAAGAAATTAGGACCTGTATTTTTCTTGTACGATGGAACAATATTGAAGTTCGCCGACTTGCAACCTATCACGGGATTGCACTCTTTCTTGATAGGCGGTTTTACAGCACCTATCGGAAACTAAGCACAGGTTAAGTATTTAGTGAAACGAAATGCTTAATTGTAAATATTCATACCTTTACCGCTGCTCCTTCGAAGAACACTTTCAAATCTTTCATTAAATCAACGTAACTGACATTCTTTGCGTATTTTCTTAGCCACATGGACATGTGATTTAAAACGTTTGAATTGTTAAAGCGGGTATCCAACAGAATTATAGCACCATAGTCATGCCTGTGTCGGATAACCCTTCCGATGGCTTGATTCACAGCTTTAGCGGCCTCCAAATTATACCATTCATTCCCATTCAAATACTAAAAGACGGTTTTAATATGGATACAGCAATCATTGTATGCAAGATTACCTCGCGATTTTTCAGTTTGCAATTATCTAAATATTGTTTTTTCAGAACAATCCGTGGGTCCTTTAGGGGAGGAAACGGCAGGCCTGTGATCAACACGGCTCTGCCATTGGCATCGGCAAAGTCGAGACCCTCAGATACTTTACCTCTACAGACGCCCATAAAAATTGCGCCCTGCAAGTTAGGATCATGCACGCTCTTGTAAAAGTTTTGCATCGCCTCCTGGAATGCATTTTTCTCCTTGGGTTCCACAAAAATATTCTGCAATAAAAAAATATAAATTACTATTTTTCTATAGATAATTTTGATTATATTCTACCTTTCTCTCATTCATTGAAGCCCAGAGACCGGACTCTTGCCAGGAATCCTTGCACTTCCTCAACATCACATATGACGGAAAGAAAACTAACATTCCATGTGGAATAACTCGAATCAGATTACTCACTGTTCGTCCCAGCGAGGTGATATATTTGGGGTTGTCCCGGTTTTGGTAATTACAGTTGAGTATCTGTCCGTCGGGGCCTTTGCTCAATATCTTCACACAAATTTGATCGCCTTTAACAATGTGAGGATTCTCTAATTGAAAGCCTACATTCAACTCCAATTCAGTAATTAAAGGTGGTAGTGGAGCTAAAGTCCCACTGGTCAGTATCACAGATTTCACACCTTGACCCATCAAAATATTCATTCTATAAACATGAAAAGACAATGATCATCCTTGGTAGGCTATAGCAATCAAACATACCCAAAACCTGGACTGAAACACCAAAAGCTGAGAACACGACAAGCAGGTTTCACTTTGTTTGACGCTTTTGATAACCAATTAGAACTTTGCTTTTGCTTCTCGCCTTCTTCCATCATAACGTGGACCTAAATATATAGCACAGTAGTAAATTAAAATTATAACAGTTTGCATATTTGCAAATACAGACTTTGTAACATCTTTCCAATTTCTGTTTGTAATTAGGTTCAACATTTATAAAAACGATGCGTAACAGATCCTCAAATAGACTTAAACCATGCGTCCACTTCTGGAAAACGCCTTCACCTGCAGTTGTCATAAATTGGTTCAGTTTATCTACTAAATTTATCACTGTGCCACAATTTTCATTGGTAACCTGCAATGGTTAAGTATTAAATGCTGCAAAGGTTTGTGCACTACAACTTACACCACTATCAGCCATCATTTTGAATATGTATTTACCTTCAAAGGTGGCACCCTCTGAATGATTTTTAATTTCAATATTATCTAAGACTTGCTCAAAGTCCAGAAATATTTGCTTCAATATACACAATTCATCTGGGCTAAAATCTGGTGGAGTATCATTATATGACATACCCATATCCCCTGCTTCAGAAGACAACACCTTCATTGCTTCAGTTACACCTTCAATACTCAATACTATATCAGTAGATTTAATTTGCAAAGAAGCTGAATCTTCACATATTCTTTCAATGTTGTGAGCTTCATCCAATATAACAATATTATTAGTTAACTCAACACCTGAAATAATATAATTATGTTTTATATTGCAGTTCAGTAATATTTACCAATTGATTTTCTCACTCTTGCATCCAATAAATAGTTATAGGGCATGAATATTATATTTGCCTTTTGTTGCAGTTCCTTTGACATGTAATATGGACAGAACTTGTGCTGACTTCCCAGTTTTACTATATCTTCAATGTCCACTATACTAGGCTCAGTCACTTGTGGATTGACTTTCTGCCTTTCCACACGATTATAAAAATGACATGAATGTGATTTCACTTTCATACGGCACATATTAATTTTAACACTATTGCTTTCTTCCTTTATTATTTCAGGATGAATACACATTTGCTCTCTAGATCCTATGACTGATGCCTTTAAATGACTGTAGTCTGATCTTTTTAATTCCTGCATTGCTTGAGACAACTGTGCATGGGTTCTTGAGGAGTATATTATCTGGGGTGTCCCTAGCACCCCTCGGCTAGGTGCCTGATTCTTGTTAAAATACTGATTCACCTCATTGAGACAATCTTCATCCAAGTTTTTCATATCTGGAAAGAAATTGAGATTGTTGGTTTCTTTAATTTTTGTTTCCAACCATGCCAAAGAGGAACACAATAAGGAGAGTGTTTTGCCTGTCCCTGTAGGTGATTCCAGAACTCCATGCCGCTGATTTCTTAAACAATCTATCACCTTGCTCATGTAATCCTTTTGAATATCATAGGGCTCAAATGGAAATTTCACCATAATTCCGTTTATTTGGTATTCTGTCATCTTGCTTAGACACTAATGAAATAATTTAAAACTCTCACTTTTCTCACTTTTTTGGTTAGTTTTGGCGGCATATGTAGAATTCAACAGTTATCAACTAATTTCAAACGGTTTAACTGGATTCAACATGTTGCTTCATTAAGTTCGCGCATGATGTTAAACGTGTTGCCTATTCACAAACGTAAATAACCAGTAACAATGATTCAACAAAATTGTATGATCGCTGAGACTTCGATTTGAAAACAATTACTAAGTGTAGTCATTCAAAATGTTTTTCTCTAGACCCCTGTAACACTGGTTATATTAGTTAAATCATCAATTAATAAAAGCAGTGACCGGCTAAATTGTGAAAGATGCGCAAGCTAAGTGCAGCGGGATGGGGAAAAGAGAAGAAGAAATTGTCTTCTTCACCCTCTTCGTTCTATTTGACCGGGAAAATAATCATCATTATTTTATTGCTGTCAACTTTTTAACAATATCTAAAATTTTCAATGTGTTTCAATTGGTTGGTTTTTTAAATCAACATAATGTTTATTATTTATTAACGAATATCTTTAAATTCTCATAGAAAAAACTAAATTTATACAAAAGTACTATAGAGATAGCAGAACTTCCAAAGACGACAGTACAAGAGGCAACTGAAAATATTGGTATAATCAAATAATAATATCAAAAGTTAAAGAAAATAAAGAGAAGAGTTCAGCAAATCACCTGAAAAATATCAACGATTAACAAGATATAATATTATAAAAATTGGAAATGAAAAATTCATTTTGTCTGTTAAAAAAAATATATCAATATTTCCATATTTCAAATTGTCATGACATATTTAAATCGTTGTGAATGCTGTAAACAAGAATTGGGCATTCCGAAAAATGGGCTTGTAGTTTAGCCCAGCGTTTCTCAAACTTTTTGTTTTGAAGAATGGGTATGTGTAGAAAAACATTACGGATTGATCAATCATCAATTTTTCTATGACACCCCAAATCCAACCTTTTGAACATGGCTAGTGAGACATTGTTACAATTGTCTAGAAAATGTCCAGGAAATAGGAATTACTTTTTAAATTGGTTGGTATGTCAAGAGATGAATTTTGATAGTCCATACCATCCGATATTGATTTGACGAAGTTGTCTGATTCAGTTGTTTAGAAATTTAGGAATTTAAAGTGTTAAAAGCAATAATTTTAATTTAAATTGCCAGGTTTATCTATTTGATATACAATTGCAATCAGATGGCGACTATACATTTATAATGGTTATCAAGACCTTACAAAGTGTGTTCAACTCAGAGCTTTAAAAACAAAACGAGCCGAACAAGTTCCTTACCATCTTCAGCAAATATTCATTATTTTGGAGCAAGTGTCAATGGTAGAGAATTTATGAATGAAGTTATTGAAGAAATTTGCGAAATGTGGGTTGAACTCAAAATCGTTCATCCTCAATAGTTTTTTTTTAGTATTGTTATGTCAAATTTTCGCTTTTTACAAATAAATATACAAAAGTTGTTTGTCAATTTGTTAAAGTCTAACGATATTTCCTGTCAAATTTAAAGATGATGGGTAGAATAGATACGAGTAAACGCAATATTAGTGATGTAAGGTAGGTAGAAATTCCACCACCACCAGAAATTCGTTTTGCCATTATCTTCGGATTTAGACGTTAACTCAAGACTATCTCCAAGTGGTTACAAAGATTTCAGACCGGATATTTATCTGTGGAGGTCGAACTTGGTGAAGGTAGCCCTAAATCTTCGACCGACGATACAAATGTAGCTCTGGTGATGGCAAAAGTTGACAAAGAATCAAGAATGACACAGGGAATGGCTAGTAATGAACTGGACTTGAATACCATAGCTTTATCGTAAATATTAAGTCTTCACTTGGGCTACACGAAGAAATCCACTCGATCCACGACTTAGCGAACTTTTGTATATTATAAACGGAAACAATGTTAGGAAATGGAATAATATTCTACTTCATATTTGGTGAAATAATTGTAAGGTGTTTTCTTTTTCGAAACAATTAATATTTATTCTTCTATTTATCGTATTGTACATACATGTTAATAATGACAATATGAAAATCAAAAGTAACGAATAAAAGAAGACGCAAAAATCCATAACAGAGCGGCGTGCGTATTTCTTATCAAATTGTTAATATTACATTTATCGTCGATCTGAAAAAAAAGGAAAAAAAATCATACAGAGTTTAAAAAAATATCCCAAGAAAAATAGCATTTCTCCAATATATACAATATCCCTGGATATATCTCTCATTTATTTATTTAATAACTTTATTCTCTCGTCGATTTCATATACCTTATATAACAATATATATATATATTTTTTCTTTGCGTATTAAATATAATTTTGAAAGGCTTTTATAACATGCTGGAATATCACATCAATCGCATTTACTTTACATGGTGTGAGTGTGTGTGTGTGTGATGAGTCGTGAGTTATAGCGCTTCTTTCGGTGATTATTCGACAATTGTATTTTGGTGTTGCGATTGTATACACGTAATAATAATATTCCAACATAGTTATATAATTCAAAAGGCAACGCGCCAAAACAATCATGCATCGTTCGATCCGGATGCAAGAAGTTTGAACGCCCTTCGCGCACTCCATTTTGTTTGTTTGTTGTTGTTCTTTTTATGTTTCGTATATTGGTTTGGTTTGTTTTGCAAATTAGCATCGAATCCTAAATGTTAGTGATACCCTTAATACCTTAGCAACAACTAACTTAAATGAAACAACAATTAAATGCACGATTTTCTGAATTTTCTCATAAGTGGATGTTGCACATTAACCATTGCTGGCAGTGTTTAACAATTCAATAAAATTAATTATTTTTTTATATATTTATATATAAATGATTTTTTTTTTCCTAAAAGGAAGTCAAAACAAATTCGAATGGCAGGATAAATTGGTTTAACGACCTTAAATTAACCTCCCTGTGTACTCTTGCATTAATTAACCTTTTATTAGAAACCCCGCTTTAAATTAACTTTCGGCTGCGATTTTAAGTTGTCGACTCTTTAAAGTATGATTACATGAAGCGTTTCGTTCAATCAATTTTCTTTTCATATTTTAGTTTTTAGCACTACTTAGCATTGCTAAATCAAAACTTTATCGTTTATTTTTAATTTTCTTTTCATATCTACGTGTAGCGTATAACTTCGAAACGCGCGGGGCTTTCGAGATCCTCATTTAAAAAAATTGTAATGTACCTAGTGTAGATTTCATCTTTTTAATTCACTAATTATTTGCTTGATCTTTCAATATTTCCAAACCCGATTTTTTTAAAATTATTTTTTCCGTTTTTTAATGTTGTTGGATGGCTTCGGGTCCTTCTTGTTTAGTAAGACTTTTATTATTTTTTTGATATTTCTAGCGATTACGCTAGGCGAACCATGAATAGGACGATCAGAAGAGCGGCCGCGATTGATGGACGATTAAATGTGTAGGCAGAATTGCAGAGGCTCTTCGTGCAGGAACAATATATTATTTGGACATCATGGGTTCCTGTCCTACGGTAGCATTCTTTCTCGTTTTCTTCTTCTATGTATCCACATCCTCTGATCACTCGCACCTTACCCTGAACTGTAAAAAGCAAATAAATCAATTAGTATGAAATGTAAAAAAATACAGTGGAACCTCGCTTGACTTAAACTCGTCCGTTCCAAAATTTCCGGGGTTTTACTCGCATAGTGAAATACTCGTATAGTGAAATAATTTTCCCCATATAAACTAATGTAAAATACGCTTTTTAATGATTTTTGATTTTATCTATGGTTATTTTTACTATTTGGCTTTTTATTCGGAACATGTTCGAACACAAGTTTGGAAATATGTGTAATCACACAACATTAAGATGCAACTAGAATGACTACTAACACCACAAACTGTTGTATTATACTTTTAATATTTGTTTATATAGCGTACTTAGTATGTTTATATATTAAAATAATGGTTGGACTCAATACATTTTTGTTGTGCTTTTACAGCAAACACAAAATTATAATTGCAAAGTATAGTCCGCTATAAACAAAGATGACAAAAAAAATCGAAAATGCTTAATTTATTAAAAAAATACACATAATATGTGTACACAAGTTTTGAAAATGATGTAGCAAGTACACATTCCGGGACTTATCTTCTCCTCATCACTCGTTATGCGAAACGTCACTCGTTAAGCGAGTCATTTTTCTTACAATTTATTTTGCTCGTTATGCGAGGTGCTGTGACCGAGAATACACTGTTTATTCTTGGTCAATAGCCTTTTTCTTAGTAGAATGTTACAATCAATTCTAAAGTATAATCAATCATATATCTATATAAATTTATTACTAACGTCAGTTTCTCTGACGCCACGCGTGTAACAACTTTATGATATTCCCCGCGAGTAACGCAGGGATAAAAAAATGCTAGTATTTATAATATGTATTTTAAAAAAATATTGTTTGTACAATCGATAAAATGAACAAAAAATCGAGACTTTGGTGATAAAAAATATCAATCAATTTAAGTCATAACTATAATAAACTAATATCATATTTTAACGAAAATATAAACAATATCGTGTTGTGATTATTAGTATATTACATTATGTAATAGATTTATATCAATAGCTCAGTAAATATAAATTAATTGCAATAATAATGTAAAATGATTTGTATTACTCTTGCGTATCTCACGTTTCTTAACTTTCGTAAGCATTGAAATACTACTTACTACTTACGAACTCCCGGTCTTACGAACAAAATTCTAAAAGCTCTAACTTGTTACAAGTAGATATCTAGTGATAAAAAAATGAACTGTCTAAACAAAAAATGATAATTTCTTTAATAAAGTATATTATTTTTGGAAGATGTACTATCTGTTTTGTTACATTTGTTTCTTTTGTCAATTTTATTAAATAAATGGAATTTAATATATATAAAAGTAAAAACCATGATAAAGTGTGGTAAGATAAGTATATTTTGAAATTTTTTTCGGCTTACGAACAGCCCTTTGGAACGGAACTAGTTCGTAAGTCGGAGGATATTTAATACAGACCCGATAGCCTAAATACCCGATAGCCCAGCAGCTGTGATTTCTAACCCACGTGTCGTGAGATCTTTGGTGAGTCGCGATTAAAAAAAATCATAAATAAATTATTTTTCAAACATAATAAATATACAAAAATTAATATGTAAAAAAATTAAGTAAAAAGCTCTTTCTTTTCGGTCAGCGCTACCCAATTGGAAAAATGTCTTAAACACTAGAGCTGGTGAGTGTGAGTAATGATTACAATACAAGTCAGTCTTGTTTGGTTCATCATAGGTAAAAGATAATTTGTTTTACGTATTAGTTTGATTGTTTTTTTGCAAATATTATTAGTTTCTACGTCAAAAATACAACTACATTAGTGGCTTAACTAGATGTGGATGAGTAAAGTTAGTAGACTCCAGGCAAATTTGGGATCCCAGGAAAAGTTTTTATCTTAGTTTTCAATGCCCCCGATTAAAACGTTACTGCATCTACATTTTATTTTTCGCTGTAACTCCAACAACTAGAACTATTGAGTTGGCAACTAAGTGATTGTTTTGTCAACGTGTTCAAAGCACCTAACATATTGTTTTCTTGTTGTTTGGACTTCCACCTTTCATTTAGTAAAAAAATGTATCGTTCAGTTATTTAGTTTTGTTTTTATCCCAATTTAAAAATGAAAGAACAAGTCGCGCATTTCAGAACATATGTCTGAAATGAAATTGTATTATTTCCGAAAGGCTGAAGCCTTGAAAAAAAGGCAGTATCAAAATTGGTTTGCCAAATTTCGTTCTAGTGATTTTTCACTGAAAAATGCGCAACGGCCAAATCGTTGATGAGACCCATATCAAGGCTATTATTGATTCAGATCGTCATAGCACAACACGTGAGATTGCAGAGAAGCTCAATGCATTAAAAAATAAAATAAAACAGCTTGTCAAAAAATTTGAATTTTCATTCTTACTTAAAATACGCAATCACTTAGGTGCCAACCCTATAGAAGTTGCCTGAGATATTTTAAGCTATGACATTGTATGACTTTCATGAACGTTTGTTTGTAAATGATTTGTATTTTAATACGATGATCATAAGCAGTGTTTGATGTTAAACAAGACAATAATACATTGCTTTCAATTGGCATCCACCAAAAGTTTGACGGTTGACCTAGATCTTGGTTCTATGCATGAATATCAGCTCGAATGAATTGCTTTATTTGTCTTTGGGGAATCGTTGTTTGTTATTATTATATACTTAGGTTTTGAAGGGCGAAGTGCGGTCTTTTCAGGACCGGTGACCGAGTTCCCCTTTTCCCTTTAATTTAGGTTTTGTAGGACGCGTGCATCGATCGATGGCATCGGGCCAAACTCGACGCCGTGCCCTGACATTTTCCATTAATTTAATACAACATATAGTTGCAATTATGTGCGGTACCTGTCTGGGTGATCTTCCTGCAGAGGATGGGCTTGTGATCCTTCATGTGTTCCAGCGGTTTCTTCATCGAGCAGTTGACGGTGCCCAGCGTGTACGGATCGAAGGGATCTCCGCATCTCGGATCGAACTCCGAGTTGCATTGGTAGCATGTGATCGACTTGTCCGATGACTCGTTCTTCTGCCATTTATTGCCGGCGTTGCCTGCGAACAAAACCGAACAGAAATAGAAGCAAAGAAATACGATAATAATAAAATAATAGAAACACATGGAAACAGCGGCTCAGATCAATACGGGTTGTATGTTTTTTGTTGTTGTTGTTAAAAGCGGAAGTTAGGTTGAGCTTCCGTTGGCACCTCAATTCCCCCACCGAACGGCGAGCATTCAATTGCGGTTATCTGATTGTCGAACTTTTCATATAGAAAATAGGAACACGAAGATTGTTTTATTTGTTAGATGAAATTGAAAATTGATTTAATCATAAAGAAGAGAAATTGCATCCATATTTTCAATCCAATAAATAATTATAATATATATAGGGTGAAATAAATAGCCAATAACATTTTATAATAGTTAATAAATCATATTTCTCTTATATGCACGTTATTGATGTTATTATTAGTTTATAATATATTATTAACTACATGTTATTATTATCTAACAAATGTATTGATCAAATTGTTTACCAATGAAAAGCAAAGTTGTAGAGTCGTTAGCTTAATGGCCTCAATTTTATAATTCCATTAGTGGTCATAAATTAGAACATGACCCTTTCCTTTCTGAACAGAAATACTTACATTTTTTTTTAAATAATAATTTCAAAACTTCTAAGTTATTTTCTTTAGTCATTTTAATTATTGGATAATTCAAATACTAATTCCTTACGGAAATGACATTAGAAAAGGTAAGTGTTTTATATAAACCAGGGTTTCCCAAACTATGTTTCGCGGAAATCCTGAAGTGAAATAATGATTATTTAGTCATATGATGAATGTTTTTACTCATTTTCTAAATTTTGTTAACAAATAATCAAATATAAAAAAATACAACAATTCTTTATAAATTAGAAATGGAAAGAGATACATTTGGCCAAATATATATTAATATTATTTCATTTAAATTAAACTTTTATCTACTACAGCAGTATTTACATTGAGGGTTGTAATTTTCTTGTCATATAAACTTTATATTATTGCTTATTAAACACTTTAGTGTATCAAAAATAAACTTTCCCATTTAAGAGTAAAGTTACAGGGCTCGATATGTTTGACACATTAAATATCAATGGAACTATAGTCGTATTGACGAAGTATTTCTATATCATAATAATATAATATGGGGCAATTCTAAGGACTATCGATCAATGCTCGGTCTGCCTTGTGATTATAATCAACCCAAAGTAGTAAATAAAATCAGAGCTCATTTTATATTTGTCATTGCTGATATAATATGAATAATGGATGCGGAAAGACTTCGGACGTTAGCCTTTTGGCACTAATTGCAAACGATAATTATGTTTAAATATAAATGGATGAAATATAAAATATATTAAAACGCATAATTATATATGATTTTCAATTGCAACACGCTAATAATAATGGATTAAATATAATAATCACAATTAAATATGTCACATGAAGAATATGTTGCCAAAATAAATATTTAAATTAAAAAACTATTATTATAGATAAATCATTAAAATAATATCAAGTTATGTTAAACATAAAGAAAATGTATTGAAAAAACTAATATTAAAGAAAGTAGTATAAAATTCAAGAAAATATGTTATTACTTTACTTTACAGACTAATCTAAAGTTTGAACATTGGTTTATAACAAGTTAGTACCAAAATGAATGAATGAAATAATTTCTATAGACCTTTTTTCATTTATTAATCGTACTTTATTTTCTGGTAAAGTTCCCAAGCCAAAAAACACAATTAAACTTATATAAATTGTAATACAGTGGTACCTCGCTTAACGAGCACAATCCGTTCCAAAATTTCCGGATTTTTACTGGTATAGTGAACATTTTTTCTCCATATAAATTAATGTAATATACGATAATGCGTTCCATTTTGCGAGTCATTTTTCTTACAATTTATTTTATTCGTTATGCGAGGTGCTCGTTAAGCGAGGTTCCACTGTATTTATGTTAAAATATAGACATAAGAAGTGAAAGATTCAAGATATATTACTTAGTTATGTACGTAAACAATTATCAAGTACAATGTACAAACACAATGTCATTTTAATTATAGATTTTATATTTACTTGAATTCAATACAGAAATAAAAAAGAAAGGATCGTTTAGATCCATAATATTAAATTGATGATACACACTAATTGAAGCAATTAAAAGAGTATTATCGTTAATAAAACATGAGATGACGCACAATTCATCGTATAGCGAGCACAAAGTTCGTGAAATTCCTAACGATTAAACACTACAACGAGATGAATAGATAGATATATTCATTAAATTAAATACCATTCATTAAATGGTAATTTAGGACTTTCTACCTTATGGTCAATAGGCCTCTGCAGAATTTTTGTTATTATATTGAGTTTTATATTTTAGTAAGTTATTGTTGCTATAAATAATATTATTGGTAATTTCATAAAAAGATACAAATATAAGCTAAAGTATGTATAGTTGATAGATTAATTTATTATTGCAATTATAGAAGCAATACAAAATTTTTGGTTATAACATTTGATTCTTTCTTTGAAGAATATTGTTAAATTATTAACTAAAATTGTTAGTTTATTTTATTTGAAAGAAAATATTTTGTATCTAAATTGTTTACGTCAAAATAAATTATTCATAAATGATTATTAATAACCAATTAAAATAAATCTGTTTAATACAATTATTCAAAATTTCGTTATTACAAAATATATATTAGGTGTGTTTTGTTAGTCAATTGAAGGTACATAGATTAAAATATTTTGTTGCCGTTTATTCTTGGATATTTATTTTAGTAAATGACGCTTAATGAATGCAAATTTTATTTGATAAATAGTTAGATAATTTTTGAAAATAAGTGTTTTTTTATATTTTGACATTATAGTAATAAACGATTATTATCAAATATATGGATATTTTTGTAATATGCTATATTTCTTTTGTATTGTTAATATTTTATTATTGTTAATTAGGATATAGTAATGTTCAAATAATAATAAAAATATTAAATATATGTTAATTTAAAACATAAATGTGTGGAAAAAGTATCTCAATTTATATTAATGATTGCGGTGGAATGATATTAGCGGAAAAGGTCGTGTTCTGTGGCGAATTTAATGGAAATGTAATTCGAATGACCGCAGGGAAATTACGGTAAAATTGATTAGGAATGGAATGTTCGCTGTGGCCCTTCCTCCTCCGCCGTTGATGATTGATCGAAATACCGCTGATGAAATTTTAATCGAGTGGCTTTTTGATGTTCGCCTCGATGTAGGTTAATGATTTTTTGTCGAGTGGGGAAGCCCTTTTGCCGTAATCGGATCTCGATTATCGATTTTTATGCAGTTCGCATCTCTTTTGCCAACTGCACTCCACCGTCGTCGCTCGCGCAACGAAAACTAGCCAATTAGATAATTGCTACAAATGATATGATTTCGATCCACTTGAGCCAATAGGCGATCCAAGGTCGCCTGTCCCCATCGACGTTTGATCGAAGATTCTTTCGGAAGTGTTCCTTTCTTTTTGCTATTATCTAACTTATATGATTCAGTGGTTTCTTTTTAGCGCGGGTTCGGGGGTGATGAATTCAAGGTCAACTTCGTTGATGTCGTTACGTAAGTTGGCCGAGTTTGCGTGTACGTTTGCGGAAACGGAAGAAACGCTTGATAATAATACTCACATCCAATTGCGAACATTCCCAGCGCGAGGAGGGTGAGCAGAGGCCAGTACTCCATGTCTTCGACTGTTTGGAGTTGCGGTTATGTCCCTACTTGCGCACGGAAATCCAAAATTGGTGCGTCCGGGAACGAGCACGACTGCACCACCGATGGGGGACCACCACATACATTCGCATTCGAAGGCAGGTTGCGATATCGACGCTTCTCTGTCTGTTCAGCGTTTAGCAACGACGGCGGAGGCGCCAGGCGGTGGCTCCTGGCGATCATGGTTGGTGGTTCGCAGTTGCCGGTGGAGGTGGTAGCGGCGCCGACGTCCTCGGAAGTAGCGACGCGCCGTGCATGTGACGTCACTCCGGCCGTGCGGCGTCGTCGGGCGTCGCGTGACGTCATGGTTTTCTGGGGCTGCTCGATCGATCGATAGACGGGTAACCCACTTTCGTAGACTTCCCTCTTCCGTGCAAATACTTATGTTAATTGTCCGCATCAGGAAACCGAAGGCGTATCCGTATAAATATCACGAAACCATCGATTATTCCGACCCCGAAAATTACACATATTGCATTCTTATTATACCAACCACTTCCTTGACTTTATATAAAGAAAGTAGTTCACTGGGTTACATTTCAAATAAAACAAGTACTGTTTAATTTGAAAAATATAATTAATTATGTTTGAATTTTTATAAATAATTTGTTTGTATCATAATTCATTAATGTTATAAATAGAACTTCGAGCACAATCCGTTCCAGGTTTTATAGTTAGAATTTTAACTAATTAATTCATTGCAGACTTACAACATGTAACCAATACACGCAAAAATAAAATATGCATATAAATAATGATAAAACAAATCAATACTTTGATTATTTACATTTATAATAAATTGTACACACATACAACGGAATATTATTGTTTACTGGAAGGTTATTCTTCAACTAGAGTTTACTAATTGAGAGTAGTGGTTTATTAATATAAGAAGATTATTCATTGTGCATTTAGAAAAAAGGGTCTACGAAAAAAGTTTTAATAAACAGTGGTGCCGTGGGATAGAAGGTGACTAGGGCCCACGACAACCTTAATGCAGCCCTAGTTAATATTATATTTTATTGGAGAAATGTCTTATGTCTTTTAATTTTCTATTTTATTTTAGTATTTATGTATTTATCATAAAAATAACCATAAATTCTTTATTTATTACCGTAATTTGATGATCTGCGATTTCAAAATGTTTATATAATTTTAAGAAAAGGGACAGAAAAGCTTATATATAAATAAAGATTATTATTATTATTTGTACTGTAATAATATTATATAATTCTTTCATCACTTGTTCTCTGTGTACATTTTGCTCTATAGCTGAATTTTTGAAAATGTATCTTTTACAAATTATCTAAATGTTTTAGTCCATATTGGTTATTCTTCCTCATTTTTATAATAAACCAAATCTTTCATGTATATAAAAATAAGTGGATTGAAAACTCAAATACTTTTTCTACAATCGTAAAAAGACTGTGAGATTTAATTGTTTCTGCAGGTTTTATTAGTTTCTATATTATTATACGAGAGCAGTAATCCAGTAATAATATGAAAATTCCTCCGTCATTTGAATATATCATCTATTATTAACACACAGTAAACATTATATTTTAATCTTTTTCTTAGTTGTTGTTTACCAGCTGTTTATAGACGTATTTGTGCAAGTTTCTAAGATGAAATACACGAGTATCATTATGTGATAAAATTATTTGTTTTTGAAAGTTTATCGACAACAGAAACAATCTGCTCATTAATTTCTAACAGTCCACAGATGGACTTTAGAATTTAAATGTAGACGTACAATCGTTGAAGATGACCCACGTAATGGCCTTCATGATATAGTATTAGATGATCTACGATTGAAAGTGTGTGAAATAGCTGATGCCATAGAATTTTCAACAGAACGAGTTTTCCATATTTTGCATGTAGATTTTAAAATAAAAAGCTCTACCGTATTTGCTACTAAATGACAAAAACGCATTCTCAAGCGTCTTTAGATCGCTTTAAAAAGAATAAAACCGATTTTAACAGAGACGAAAGAAAAATCGAAATAATGGTTAATAGATTCTCTTGAGAAAAGTAAAAGAATTAACACAGAATATTATGTTGGATCCTGTTGGATCAATTGGATAAAAATATATAGTGAGAAAAGATCTTATTTACAGAAAAAGAATATAGTCAATTACTAATTAGTCAATTACTCAATTACTTAATAAATTGCTTGAACATTCATCTTATTTGCCAGATTTAGGTTCATCAGACTATTATCTATTCCCAAATCTGAAAAAAAACTTCCTGGAAAGCGTTTTCCAGGAATTCTCAGTGGGGGTCACAGAAAAATTGATGAGAGACGGGTCGGTATGTTTTTCCAGGTTTTTCTACACATACCGTTTATTTGGGGAGGTCGGTTAACTTTTTTAGGTGCAAAAGGGGGTGGCGGACCAAAAAGTTTGAGAAACACTGCTGTAGACAGTTATTTTGCAAGTCTTAATACAAATAATTATGAATATGGTATAGAATTATTAGAAAAACTTTGATGTATAGCCACACGGAGATTATAATGAAAAATAAAACAAGTTTTTGAACGACAAAACTGCCATCGCATATTGCTCAAGAAAGAAACTCTTACATAGAATATAGCTCTTTCATAGAAAATTTGAGTAATCAATAAAGTGCTGGAACCTTTTTTAATAGTTTTATTTTTATTAAATCGATACGAATCGTCTTTTTAGAATTGATATGATTATTTATATATGAGATAATTTCTATAGGCTATATCGATTTAATTGGTTTAAACATTTGGAATGCAAAAGATACACGTGATATACAATTTTTCATGCGGGTATGCTGTTTGATAATTGTCAGATTAGACCTTTTAACTTAGTACAAGTAATTATGAGCAATAGTAGTTATTATTATTTTTACAATTAGAAGATACATGGTCTCCTGTGTTTTGTCAACAGTAATTGCGTTTTTACATCATTTTAAGCATGTCAATATATACTGCAAAATAGTCATTAGGTAAATGCTATATACCCTTTCTTGAGTTTTATTACTTCAGCGTTTAACCTTCAGTTTTTCTTTGAAAATATGTTCTATTTTCCAAGTGTTACTCATACAAATGCCACGGAAAGATGTGAAAGATATGTAAAATTTTAAAATTATTACATAGATGAACTAATAAATTCATAGAATTTATTTATTATACTTGTACACTTTTTAGTAATAATCACCGAGAAACTACTTATCCAAAATGCTCAATATTCAAGTTTGTGAATAAATTTTCTCTCATGTTATATATCTTTGTATATGGTATATATATTTTCATTAAAACTGTTCTACAGCAGCAATAATTATATCAATTAATATATAGTCAACTAAATAATAATTAATCAAAATTAAAACAAATTCTAAAATATTAGTACACAAAATTACATACATTTATATTTAAAATATATTAAGAAAATATGCGTGGATAATATATATTTTTTTTTAAATAAAATAAAAACAATCTTTATTTCTTCATGCGGACCTCAGAGCTATCGACCGACGTCTTTCCGCCCAAAGAGTTTACAAATTGTACAATGAAATTACGAAATATGGGTAACATAAAAAAAGATAAATAAAAACATAAGCGAAATGAACATTTATGAGAGTCTATTATGTACTTACGAAATAAAGAAAGGAAACATTGCATTAAAAATATAACTTAAAATATATATAACTTAATATACATGGAATGTTCTTTGGCTCAGAAAATAATTGTTAATACTATGGAAGATATTAGCATATTTAATCTTAATGAGAAAATAACTTCACAACGGAATAATTTGTATTTATTTAGATAGTTAGATTGTTTATTTCTTTCCATTAGTTATACTTTTCTATAAATGTATTCTAATAAATACATTATAGCAATAATTCAATATAATTAACAAATATACATACTTCTGTTAATTATATATTAAAAAAAAACAGAAATTACATACAATAAAAGCTTAGTAGAATATTTAAATAATAAGTTTAATAATATGGTCAATAGAAAGTAAATTTATTTATTTCAAATATATTTTTCTGAAATTACTACATTTGAGATGTTTGAAGAGGTTTACGTTGATTAAAAACATCACAATTTAATATATACTTATATTTCAAGAACTTGTTGTCGCCTGGATTCAAATCATTATCACGGAATATAAACGGTTTTGTTAAATGAACCATCTCGATTTTGTCGTATTTCCAATAATTCTTTACATTTACGTCAGAAACTTTGTTTAATGTTTTCACTGAACTATTCATTGTGTTTTCTACAATTTGAGAAATAATAATATGAACATAAAACCAAATTACAACACTTTTATACTATGCAAGCAATTACTAGCATTCGTATAAGAAGAGGAATATCGTTAAATTTTTAATTGACCCTTAATGGTTTAGAGAATTTAACTTTTTAATTTTTGTTTTTTTCATATATTTTTTTTTATGTTTAGAAATTTCGTAAAACTATTACACTCTGTATATTCTGAAAGTGGTACCACAACAAAGAAAATTTTGCAATGTATTTTCTTTGGTCCAACAAATTCTTAATATTTTTTTATCATTACATTATTTACAAGTATCTTTATATGTTATCTTTAAATGTTATGGAACTGTTTAATTCTTAGAAGTATTGAATCCGCAATTATTTTGTTTTATAACTGGAGAACTAATATTTGGCTTGAATTACTAGAACCCTTTCTCCGTTCTGCATAGGTAATATAATATTAAAAATTCTAAACCATAAATTGTACTATGAAATTACATTTTACCAGGGTAATACATTTTACCAGGTAGATGCGCAGTCTCTCTCTGCCAGAAGGACGCATAATATAAAAACATGTATGCATTTAAGAATTCATACAAATAGATTTATTTTTGTGTGTTATATTCAGTGCAAAGTTTGCAATCGTTCGACATGGATCCAGTCGCGAAGGTCTTGAAGAAGTGCATGAAGAAGGACTGCAAACGCATTGTAAGTTATTCTATATTTCAGAAGGAAGTTGTAGAAGGTATCACTGATACCTTTGATACAAAGGAACCAATACCCCAAGAGAGTTCAGAAACGAAAACTGTCGAAACTATCTCAGAGAGTAGCAATGAAAAACCTGGATGTTCTAATGGAATACAATCAGAATTGGTTTTGAGTACGAAGAAAAATTTTTTGAGCAACTATCAAAAGAGTAGTTCTTTTATTAATTTATCTGTCGCTAAAGATAATTCGTGTACATTAAGAACGATGTCGATGATGGACATATACAGGTCAAATTATTTTGAAGATGAGAATTATATTTCTAGAGAAGTTCACAACAGTTCGAGTGAAAATACAAATGTCCAGGATCATAACCAATTCCAGCGAAATTCTAAGTGTAACTTTAGTAAATCTTATGTTAGCGCGAGTGATCTTCTGGAGGAGGCCAATAATCAACGACTAATTATGTTGCAAATCACAAAAGCACAACAGATCTGTAATAATATAGGAAACATGGAATATCTTGAAGTGCAGAAAGTGCTTCTTCTAGCGGAGATCAAGAGGATGGCACACATAGATGAAATGAAAAATATCGTTTTTACGAAGGAAGATGTGGTCGAGCATACCACAACCATAAAAATCAAATCTATTTCGTTGTCGATAAAAATGGATGTTAAGAGGAAAAATAAGTATTCGTTTATTTGCGTCGCATCCGCTGGTACAAAAGTACTCAGCAGCAATATTGTCCAAGGTGCTGAAAACATACTGTTTAAAGATGAGCTTATTTTCGAGGAGCTATTTTCCAACTTTGAGATAGCAGTTTCAATATATAGTTTGAAAAAGAAACGAAAGTACGACAAAATACGTTCACTCGTGGGGTCCGAACTCAGAAAGGTTTTTGGTCACAGTTCGACCTATTCAAAATATAACTTTTTTTCGACTTCCAAGTTCGAAGTTACTGGAAAATGTACTCTTAATCAGGCCAATATGATTCAAAAAAATGGGTATTTCAAGCTAAAAATAACGGATGAAAAATCACCTTTGGACGGACACATCTATATCGACTACTGTATTTACCCTTAATAATTCTATTTTATCTATTACGTTTTTGTATATTGTGATAATATTGTAGTAAGCAGTTATTCGAAATTATTTCTATTTATGTTTTCAATTCTGAACCAACTTGTTAAAATAATATAAATAAATAAATAAAATATGAAAACCAATTATTATTCTTGTTTTATATGAAAAACACAACATTCTTTAGATCCATAATAAAAAGTAATTTCGTATATTTATGTCAAAAACAATAACGTAATTTTTTTTTTAAATTTAATTTTATTAAACAATGAATGCAAAGAACATAACCTTTTCACCAACTTTTAGGCAATTTCAAAATTCCATGCTTTTTGAAAATATGTTTTTCAAAGATTTTTTTTTCATTCGACAAAATTTTCAGAAAAGTGACTAAGTGCAAAATAATTATTGTAAACAATTCACTTTTCATTGCCCATTATATCTAATTTCGAAAACCAATTTTTACACACATTTGCTTATATCAGCGTTTCTCGAACTTTTTGATCCGCGACTTAAAAATTTGAAAGACTGTTTTACATCATCTTATAGAACACATATCTTGTTAGGTATTTTGTCGTTTTAAGGAAATAATCACCTAAATTATTGCTTGTTTTGCTCTATCTATGTCGCTAAATAAAAAATACTCCTATTCCTCGTTTTACAAGGTCATTATTTACAAGTTTTCACTTTACACGGTTAAAAAAAAATAAATATGAATGTTGATCGTTATTACTCGTTATTGCTTTTACACGGTTTAATAAAAATATTAAAAACTACGTGTCGAAAATAACCTATCCTATGCGTTTATTGCATACTTTTTGATATACACGATTTTACATTCAAAAAGTTACAATTTCGATTTACACGTTCTTCCCAGGAACCTATCAACCGTGTAAATCGGGTATAAGTGTACTGTCTTTGGATGCACGAAACCATAATCTCTAAGTAAATCAGTGAGAATGTAGTGAGATATTGACTGAAGATTGTTTCAAATACTTCTTATTAACGTAAAATATTTTGTTTTGAAATTTTCAAACAGGACTATAGTGATTCTAGACCAGTGATTAACAAAGTGGTCTATATCGACCCCCAGGGGGTACATTATACTATCTTATAATATAAATACATATACATTATTTATAAAAGTACATGAAGTAAAAAAAAATTATAGATGTTTATAAAATTGTGTAAGTTGTAGGATGTAGGCATTCGCTTTGTGGTCGCAATACATTTTGAACTTGTAAAAACCTGCACATAATGATATGCCAGTATCATCTTGTTATGCTCAGTCTCAGAGCAATGATCTTAATAATTATAAAAATGTCCTAATATAAATAATAAATTTACAAAAAATCAATGTCAGGTAGGTAGGGGATCTTCCCAAAACCGAAAAACATGGCAAGGGGTCTACGACACAAAAAAGTTACCGTTACCAACATAAAATATTTATTATGTCAAACGTTCATAGTTTAGTCTACATTTCGGTTGAAAGCAATTTCCTTTGGTACAACAAATTCTTTAAGTTTTTTCATTATTAATATACGCCAAATATTTTTTCATTTTCCTAATTTTTGCTAATGTTCATTTAAGAAATATAATCATTATTTATTGTAATACGAATTAGTTATAATATTTCTTATAACAGTCATATATAAACAAATAAAACATAATGAACTGTCACAAAAAAAATCAATAATTAATAAGTTTACTTATATGCACTAGATCAGTGGTCCCCAAACCCCGGTCCGTGAATCAAATGGTACCGGGCCGCCCAAGGAACATTAAATTATTTCCATTTTTTAAGTCAGTAGAATCTAGTGAGTAAAAATGTTAAATCACTTTATATTCATTTTTTTTGTGTAACTGTATCATCATTGCCCCCTCAGCGGGCCGCTGTAAAATTATCAAACGTTGCCCGGTACGCGGCGATAAAAAGGTTGGGGAGCACTGGACTAGATCATAGATTGTCAAACGGTGGTCCGCACAAGTACAAATTTTGAATTTAGTGGTTCGTGAGGTCAGAAAGTGGTGACTGCTGCATTAGACGTGATCTGATGATGATTTAATAGGAGGAGGTATTTGGCGATTACAAATATCACAATTTCTTTCAAACTCTCTTTCGCACAACTCGATGGGAACGGTGAAATGACTGGAAGGGTTTTTCTTTGCTACATTAAGCATCTCGATCTGGATGATTTTCTTATCATTTCCTAATACTTTCATCTTTTTTTTCCAATTAATTCACTAAATGATTCTTAATTTTTCCTGCATAAACACAGAGAAAAAACATTAAAACTTGTAAAGTATTAAGAACCAAAGGCTTTGACGTTGCTATTCAGAAGGATGTCTCCCGTTTGAGCAGTAATCCGGACTCCCATAGAAGCAGAGAAACTGAATTGAATAAGAAGTGGGAGCCCAAGATCGACGTTCTTGCCAGTACAAGAAGAACGTATCACGTAGATACAGGAAAAAGCATTTTGATGGGTCATCTCTTTTGCTCTCTAGGTAGTACTCTTTTATATTTACTTTATTACTTTATTTATTAAGAGGTAAATATAATGAAAATAACACTTTTGAAAAATTAAGAAATAAACGTTTCTTATTCTATTTGTATCTAATGAGAAATATAATATTTTAGGTACATCAGAAAATTATGCGCAAGTATGAACAGGAGAGCCGCAAGTTGGGCAAACAGAGTTTCATGTATGCGTAGTTCTGGATGAGACCGGTGAGGAGAAAAACAGGGGTATCACAATGGACGTAGGACGTTCTCAGTTTGAATCTCTAAACAAAATGGTTAACTCAATTATGCTTTTACTAATTAGTATTTTTTATAGGTGACATTACTGGATGCTCCCGGTCACAAGGATTTTATTCCCAACATGATATGTAGAAGAAAGAGCACAAGTTTTGCGCAACTAACATTAGAGCAAACTCAAATAAAAGTGATTAAAAAGGATATTAGTCTAAATATGACCGAAGAAACATTACTAAGTTGAACTAGATGTGTTGAATTGAGGTTTATTTCTTTTGTATTTTTAATATTATAATCGAAAACAGCTGTAAGAAGGGAATTGGGTAAATAAAATTTAAAAAAAATGATATTTGACTCGATTTTAAATTTTAATTTCAACCGGAACCGAATCGAAACTGAACCGAAATTTTGAGACGAACTGAAACCGAATCTGTTTATCTTGGAACGTCCGTAAACCGGAAAGAAATTAATTTCGGTTCGACTATTTGTTTATAATAAATCTATATGTTAATTTTGAAAGTGGCTTAACTCCATTTATGGTAAGAAAACATATATTATTTTAATAGGAATTGTAAATTTCATTCTCTTAGATACACATAACCAGTGTTACGCCCCGTAATAACAATAATTGTAAACTGAACCATTTTATATATATAGGGGCGGCTGTGGCTATAGTTGCCTTTATCACGAAAATCTTAAATGAAAGGTCGTTAGTTCGATTCCCAAAAACCAAAAAAAATCGAGGGGGCCAATAAACCCGAAAGGGGTATGTTCGAGATTATGGTTGTCGGAATTTTCTTCTTTTCTTTTCCACACCACACTTCACTTGGCCAGCATCTTGCGCCAATTTCGTCAAGATTTTGAACAAATATAGGTTATGCAACCAAGTTAACTTTTACCGGTAATTGTTTTATTTCTCGATAAGAAAATAGATTATGAAAAAACATTTTTAAAGTCTACGCATATATTATAAAACACCGAAAATAATTACAATGAGAATATAATAATGAAAATATACCATTCATGTTTACGGTCTCAGAGTAAGTGACCTTGATAATACTTAAAATGTTATCAAGCCACATGTTCTATAATATTCTCTTAAATCTCGGCCTTGAGATAGTATCAGTGCTTGAATAACAGTTATTCATCTTTTTTATAATGTTGAAGGTATTTGACCAATTTTATTTAAAGTTTATAATGTAAATATTTAAATACATAGGGTGCTGTAAGTTTGGTCACTGGAGGGGCTTCTGGTCTAGGAAAGGCCACTGTGGAGAGATTGGTGCAACAAGGAAGCCGAGTTGTCTTGTGTGATCTGCCAACATCTAAAGGAAATGAAGTGTCCAAAGCTCTTGGAGAGGATAAAGTTGTCTTTGCCCCAATTGATGTATGTTGAATGAAGTTAATTGAGATAAAATTATTCACTGTGACTCCCAATTAAATAGGTCACTTCTGAGAGTGATGTCAAGAATGCTCTTCAATTAACCAAAGATAAATTTGGTAAGCTGGATAATGTGATCAACTGTGCTGGAATTGGTGTTGCCTTTAAAATATACAATTTCAAGAAAGATCAAGCCCATAGCCTGGAAGATTTCTCTAAAGTTATTAATGTAAGATAATTAGGATGTGTTATATAATCTGGAATAATTTACACATTACTTTAGGTGAATATAATTGGAACCTTCAATGTAGCTCGCTTGGGAGTTGGTTTGATTGGTCAAAATGAACCCAATGAGAATGGACAAAGGGGTGTTGTTATTAATACTGCCAGTATTGCTGGTTATGAGGGACAAATGGGTCAAACTGCATATGCTTGCAGCAAAGCTGGCATTATTGGCTTGACTCTTCCAATGGCCAGAGATTTGTCCACCCAAGGAATCCGTGTCTGCACAATTGCTCCAGGATTATTTGAAACCCCACTGCTGAGTTCTCTACCTGATAAAGTGCGTACATTCCTTGCTAAGTCTGTACCTTTTCCACAACGTCTGGGAAATCCAATAGAATTTGCTCAGCTAGTACAAAGTATTATTGAGAATCCAATGCTTAATGGTGAGACTATCCGTTTAGATGGTGCCTTGCGCATGCAGCCTTAAATGTAATATCTTACAGAAATAAAAGAAAGTTTTTTATTAATTGAAAATAAAATTTGTACAAATTGAGTCTCACTTTACAACACCACAAATTATATATTAAATTTAAAAAAAAAGTACATTGTTTATACAATTTTAAAGCAATTGTCCAATGTAGTCAGCCCTTTTCAGTTTTCTCTTCAATGGAGGCCATTGCACTAAAATATTATCGGCAATATAAATCAGTATGTTACCACTTAAAGAAAAGGTTTGAGTTCTACAGAAACTCTCGACAAAAACTATCTTAGTATCACAAATAAAAGCAGCCTTTAGTAAAAATGCAATAAAACAAATTGGAATACATGTCCCTGGCCCATTGCACAATATCAAATCAGGTCTGAGTCTCAGCATCATTGGTATACAATACAGAATTGAATATATTGTTGTAAATATTGAGGAGAAATATGATTGGTTGACTGCTCTGCTCCTTGGTATTGTCCTTATAAAATAATCTTTGGCATCTTTAGTCTTCTCATTTTCAAAAGCAACCACTTTTAAGTAGCTTGTCTCATCAGTCCTGGCCATCACATAATGTCTGGGGCTATACTTAAGGAAATCCAGAGATGCCATCAGACATAGCATCTCTGTTGTGTGACCCCCTGATCCAATGCAAACTAATGTCTTTGCAGCATTCACTCTTTTCTTGTGCCACACTTTCGTATGGCCCGTCGTTACTTTATGCACCAAGAAAAATATACGAACTAATACCAAAAGGATTGCCAATATGCCTGATTCCAAAGCCAAATTTCCTTTGAAAGAACATAAAAATATAAGTTATTAACTTAATCATTGTTTAAATAGAATGCTTGTGTTTGCTTTGAATACCTTCCATTTCAACACTTTTAAAATTACTGTTTTTGTACACTTAAAAATCGATTACATATTTGGTGAACTACCACCGCTAATCATGTGGATTTTGTTTTCATTCTTGACAGCTGTCAACGTTATGATTACATGGGGGAATATTATGAGTTTTATTTAATTAGTGCTTCAGGATTAATTATTAAATATATCGATAATTGATTCTACCATTCACACAATCGAATATTTTGTTATTATTAATATTTAAATTACGTAACCGTTACTAGCGCCATCTATACAAAATCTGCATAAAATTACTTAATTTGAGTTTGTCTACTTATCTATATTAGAAATATTACTAAATATAAAATTTGATTACAGGAAAGACTATTTTTAAATGAAATTATAATGTATGTAACAAATTGTATACAATTATTGATATATAATTTATTTTCTTTCTTATTCAAATCTCATCTGATTAACTTCAATGTACATAGAAATATTCTTTAATATTTAAGTTACTATGAATCAAGTGTTAGTCTTTTTTCTGTTCAAAGTGTAAAGAGGGAAGTGATAGGTTTATCACGAATGAATAAAGAGTAAAATAAAGGAGGGAACATTTCTATTACGTTTATTTCTTTAGAATATACATAGAATATTTCTAAAAAATCTCAATATAAAATTAAATTAGACTTTGTTCTGCTACGTCACTAAGTAACAATAAATTATTGGAGTTTCTTTACTTCTTCATTTTTAATGGAAAGTATACAACATATATTTTGATTTATTTTTTTTAGAATAATTTAAATAATTTACAATAGTCCAAGTTATTATGATACGTAAACTTTCCATTCGTAAATATCTTAATCTACTATAAAACTAGTACTTAAAATATTTGGCACTGAAACAACACTTTTCCTTTCTTCGAATACAGTAATAACTTGGATAAAATCGTTCACATCTTTTAACAATTACAGTTAAAAAATAGATATGATAAAGCTAAAAACAGCCTAGAAAATATAATAGAATTTTCTTAATTCTTTACTCTCTCTATCTCGTACTCATATTCACTCTAATATGTTTTATTGTAAGGCAGGACCAGACTCAAGTCCTATTTTGTTGGATATCTAATACTATTAGAACGTTGGCGAGGGTCCTGCAAACGTTGATATTTTTTGTATTTAATAAGTAGAAATGATTGAAAAGAATAGTGGTTATTCGAATCTGTCCACCATCGTCTTCACCCAGCCTTTTAGATGCTCACTGTTCCCGCAATTTTTATTGTCGACTTTTGTACTCTTTTTGCTCAAGTATTTGGGTTTGGTCGGGATCGGAGGCGGCGGCGTTCTGCTCAACGCCTCCTGGTGCTTAAGATACGACGTCGTCGACTGAGGCCGGACCGCCGAACGAAAGCTGTCGCTCTTCTCGATATTCTTCTCCTCATCGTTGAGGCTCTTCTCCAGCAGACTCTCGTAGTAGCTGTCGGAGTTGTGACTAGAGTTGAAGATCTCCTTGCTGTTGCTACTATCGTTGTGACTAGACTTGCACAGACTGATCTGAGAGTTCTGGCTGAGCCTCTTGTCCAGCTCCTTAAGTACTTCGGTCTCATTGATGGTCATATCCATGTCAAGGTCGCTGATCATGAGGTTCGTCGGTTCGGCTGTATGCGTGTTCGCTTCCAATGGATTCGGAAACAGTTTTTGAGGATCAGCGTAATCTGGGTTGGCGATCTTTGCGCCCATGCTCTTTGACCCTTGTTTGTACGTTGGCGACTTTGTCTTTTTCTGTTCCTCGCTCAGGATAACTCGGAATTTCTGTATTAAGCTGGTCCGGATCTTCGATTTCCTATATATTTTGTGCTCTGGATAATCCTCGGTGGTTCTGGAGTCGCTGCAAATTTATATTGAATTTAGTTTCTATTATTATCGATAAATAACACTTACTTTTCTTCGATTTCGGGTATTTTCTCTTGCAGCGAAGTCGTCGACTCGGAGATGGTCAGGCTGCAGGTGGGTTGGCTCTGTTGATTCAACTGGAAAGATCGAGGTAGCGAATCTGACTTGCTGAGTTTCTCTTCGGCGCTCTCGCGCCGCGACCGTTGTCTTTGCAACCGTTTTTGGAATTCTTCGTTGCTCATCAGCAAATCGTTCACCACTTGCGCGATGTTCTTAGTTTGCTGCTCCGTCTTCGCTTCTTCCAAGTCTTCGTAGCTCTTACCACGCTCTTTGATCACGTTCAGACTATCGATGGAGGCACCGATCATATCACAATTCTCCGAATCCGACAGATCCGTGTAGAAGACGGTAGCGCACTCTTTGGCTTTCTTTATTTTGGAAATCTTCTTGGGCATCGTTTTCGTGTTATAAAACTGAATGCCGCTTGGGTCGCTTTTCCGTCGCCAACTGCCCAACTGGAAAGGTCGGTCTTGGGAGGCGGCACGTCGTTTCGTGAAATCTCTAGTCTTCCGCACTCGACTTCTCCTCTCCAAGTACTGTGGCGTGGAATGCTGCTTTATTGGTGACCACTTCTCATTTCCTTCATCTTCTGGGGTTTCCTCTACCTCCTGACCCAATTCCATCACCAGTTGTCGAGCATGCATGGGTATAACTGCCGTGTAATTCTCTAAAATTACTCTCTTAATCTGTTGCGTCCAATCCTTCTTGATTTGTAGAGTCCTCGCTCTCAAAGTGCACTGCAATCGGGGATTATCGAAGGGCAATACATGGAAGCAGAGAGGTTCTCCTCGGATTTGCTCGACAAGCATTAAATTCGAGCACTGAAAATCAAATTACAATACATAAAAATCATTGTTTTTTTTCTTTAACAAGAAATTATTCTTTCTTAAATATTTATTAAGTATAATATTTCTTGTTGCTTTCATAAGAATGTCAAAAATATATACATTTCTTCTAAATGATAAACATTATTTTGAAGGCATTTAAATATTGAATCATAATACATATTTTTGTATGTCTTTCATTTATTTTCTTTAAAAGAGTATATATAATTAAAATGTGTTTAATTTACATATTAATAAGTAAATTATATGAGTAAATATTATTTAACTTTTACTTATTTGTACAAACTGTTTAAAATAATTTTCTGGTAATGATTCTACAATAGAAAATTGCGTTTTATTTTAACTGTAATTAAAACATAATGGAATTATAGCAAATCGATGAATGTTATTGATCTGCATTTTTACAATTCAAGCAAAATTGTTTTGTAATAGACAATTAGTTAGTGAGAGTGATTAAAGATGTTGCAATTTCAAAAAGTTCTATTATACTATGTCACTTGCTTGAGAATAAATTGTATTTAAGTCCAGGTTATTTAAATTGCAATGATTCTATTGGCATATTTTATATTTATTTTTTAAGAATATTTAATATATATCAATTTAAGAATGTGATTTACAAATTCAAGTAACATTAATACGTCGAAATTATTTGAAATTTAATATATTATTTAGAATCAATTTTCAATAAATATTTAGAAAAAGAAAATGTTGAAAATGGTAGAAAAGAATTTCACAATTAATTACCAATTTGTTTCCCAAATGTTTTATCAAATTTACATCTTTAAAGTAAAATTAGTCTCAATTCATTTTAGTGCACAAAAATCAATATCATTTATAATTGTTTTGAATATTTTTAAGGCTTAGAAAATGTAGCTGGATAATAATTTATTAATAAATGTTCGATAGTTTATATATTTATGGGATCATTCTAGAAAAATCAATTACAATTGATTTGATGCATTCTCGCATTGAATGGATACAGGCTGGATACTTATAGTATTTTAAATATTGCTATTTTAACACTGAAAACAATATTGACCGTTTGAAGGTCGTACTGATACTATTGCATATTTAGTACTTTGCCGTTTTACCGTGAAGGACGTTTCTGTTAAGGAATATAAAAAGTAAGTAAGTATGTATGTATAAAATAATGTACAAACAAATGTATGAGTTTTTATATTTATCAGTATATTGCTTAGTTAATAATAAGGCAATCACTCGTGTTAATTGTTGATAAACATTATCATATATATTAAAATAATTGCCGTATCTTGCAATTATAGATAATCTTTGTGTTCAGCTTTCCATTTGTCTAGAGATTCATTTGTTTTTATATATATACAGTGAAACCTCGCGTAACGAGTTTAATCCGTTCCAAAATTTCCGGATTTTTACTAGTATAGTGAAACACGTTTTCCAATATAAACTAATGTAACGCTATAATGCGTTCCTTGCTGGAGAGAAAAAAAGTATAACTTGGTCTCGATTTTTAATGATTTTGCTATTCATATCTATGGTTCTTTTTATTCTTTGGCAAGTGCAAGTGTTATTAAATTTTGCACAAAAAAAACACAAATAACATGTCTGAACACAAGTTTGGAAATTTTGTGATCAAAAACAACACTAAGATGCAACTAGAATGACCACTACCACTAGGAACTGTTTTCCAACTCACACACGGTGAAATGAGTTTATATTTGTATCTTATATTACTTGTATCAATTCGGGGACTTGGTGGAGGTCTCTTTATACTTTTAATATTTGTTTATATAGTAAAGTGTACATAATGTGTTTATATATTATAACAATAGTAGGACACAATACATTTGTGTTTTGCATTGACAAAGATGACAAGGAAAATCGAAGATGGTTAATATATTAAAAAATACACATATGTATAAACAAGTTTTAAAAATGATGTAGAAGGCGCACAATCTGGGACTTTTCTTCTCATCGTCACTCGTTAAGCGAGTAATTTTTCTTACAATTAATTTTGATCGTTAAGCAAAATGCTCGTTATGCGAGGTGCTCGTTAAGCGAGGTTCCACTCTACATTTAAAACAAATATTATAGTGTATTAATTCTAGCAAAATCATTTAATATTGTTTTAAAGTTGTTTTTTTCTAATGATTATAATATTTAAAATGAATTGATAATTAAACATAGTAAAAATAGTCAGAACTTTAATTATGTCAGTAATGTAATAAATGTTACAAATTGAAAGTTTGTTTCCTAGTTTTTTTTTAAGGATGAGAGTAAATAGCGTGTAATCTGCAAGAAATCTCTTGAGAAACTTGTGAATTGAACGAGCAAATAATGAGAATCATTTCCTCTTACCATAATGTGGGTCTTATAAGCGAAGGCGCCGTCGGGTTTGCTCTTGGCCATCAGCAACAGCTTGTCGAAGAGGAAGACGTGTCTCCGCCCACGTGCACCACCAACTCTGAAGGTTCCTTCGGCTATCAGCTCGCCAAGGGCGGTCAGGTCGGGACCGTTCCAACCGTAAAGTTGACTCTGGATCTCCTGGATCCGTACGGCCTCCTCGTGCTTCCTCTTCATGGTGTTTATATGCGCCGCGACGCTCGTCATCGTCGCCAAAGCAAGATCAACAGTGGGCTTGTGCTTACTCTCGCACTGCTTGGACAACCTCTACAAATTAGAAACGAGGAAATCCAGTTAGTTAGAATGCACGATTCCGGGTCGGCTTCGGGTTTGCTCACCTGCAGCAACAAATGGTACTTGAGAATTCTTTGTACTGGCTTCAGCAAATAGGAGCCCAGGGGAAGAGCGTGGCCGAGGGCCGTCTGTCGCTCACGAAACAGAACGGCCGTCTTTTCGTCGCTCGTCAGCTCCGTGAGGACGTTCATCGTTCGCGGATAGTCCGTGCAGTAGACCGTGTAAATCGAAAAACCCGAGTCGTTCTGCAAGAAGACATTGGCGATTTGGCTGGGATCACAATTAGCCGAAAGCAGATGTTGCAAAAAAGATCTACAGAAAGAACAAATTATTAGAATCTAGACTCATCGTCGATCGTTGTTAGCTCACTTGTTGAACCGGTAAATTTCCTCGATGTTGCTGAACAGGTGATTCAGTTGGCCTTGGATCTGGCATTCGGTTCTCCAAGGCTCCAAATATCCCTGAAATTCATGAAATTCGTAATCGCGTATTAGAAAAGATGGAGCGTGTGAATGATGCCCGCAACCTTGGCCAAGGCCGACTACGTTCGAGACATCTACCATTTCCGCGCTCCGTGTCTAAAATCCACGATTCCCGCCCGACGGTTTCGTAACGGAAGTAAAGGTCATTTTGTTTACACAGTGACCGTTCCAAGAACGCGACGCCTCTGCCTTCGTATTCACCTTTAATTTACAACAACAGACAAGAAAAAACAACATCCGAAGACACAAAGGCTCCAAAGTCCAAAATAACTATAATTCTCAATGATGAAACTGCGTGATTTACACGGCAATCGTTTACATCGAAAAGAAGCAGCGAAAGAGAGAGAAGGCGCATAATCCCTGCATGCTCCACGATGTAATTTCATTCGACTTTATGACTAAGACCAAGCGAGTGTCATCAATTAGAGATTCACAGCGCGCGCTCCTCCGAATATTCATCATTCTCGCAGCGGGAACAATTACTCGATTATCCTACGATTTCGCACATTAAGGTCACTAATGAATTTTTAAATTCAGACACTTAATTCGGAACAATTAAAAGTGCGTTAGGCGCCTCAGGCCGAATGCGAATCGGAAATTTCTTTTTAGAACCTCACTGCAGAATACCTGTGCCGTGAATCACCCAAGGAACACAGAATAACAAAACAAATAACAGAGAGGAGCAAGAGAGCCGCCGTCGGGTCTTCCGTTGCAGGAATTTCAGATACAGTTGCTCACTTTATAAGGGCAAATCGTTAACCGTTCAGAGACGAACAAAAAAAACACAAAGTTGATTGCATCATTGGGTTCTGAGTTGTTTTTTTCTTTCTTCAAGTATATAAGGCTCACCTCGATGACTTGTCGAAGATCCTGGACGTAGACGGATTCCGTGTCGAGGACTTCCTGGAGTACCCGCAGTTCGGGGCTCATCGTCGTCGTTGAATCGGAAATACCACTGTCTGCCGAACCTGCGGACCGGAAACAAAATTCGCCGATCAACATTTGCAATTCGCAGCACGTCGCGAAACGAAAAACTGTACGAATATTAATATTCTCGAAGGATTTAGAAAGTTGTTTCGGTAGCAACAAAAAAAAACAAGAACAAAAATAATATTATTGCTGTTGTTTAAAGCGCTTCGGTTAATTATTGTCAATGTTGGGTGGGAGATTTTCAGATTGGACAGGAGAAATGGGTTTCGATGGACGGGTCGAGATTAGATTACGAATTAAAATATATAATTGAAATCATCTTGTATCGCTGAGGGAGAGGAGAGAGATGTGTCTCTAAATGGAATTTCCGAAAAGGGACGATGATGCAGCTTGGCTGCTGCATCGGACAAGCGCTTCAATTTTCGATGGTGCGCTTTCCAGATTGGTATTTTGATGTAAATGGGAAAAGGTTAATCTTACCCTGGCTACCTGTGGGCTCGACGTCGCTGTCTAGACTTTCCGCGGACGCCAAATAGGCTGAACCCTGTTGATGGAGACCGCTGCTGCCGCTGGACGAACACGAACCCAGGCTGGTCAGTGAGACCGGACGTGATACCTCTGAGGACAGAGTACTGTTGGTACTTTCGCTGGGAATCTGTGAACAAGAAGGAATTCGAATCTCACGAAAAAGTACATCGACTGGCTTAAAAATAAACACACACATGTGAATGCAACACATGCTTTTTTCCACGTTCGTCTCTTCTTTACCATCTCATTTTATTTTTGATCTTCTCGAACCAAACAAACTTCAAACGAGGCTCAACTTCAATATTTTAATTTACGAACACTTTATTAAGTGATTATTAGATTATATGTAAAAATCATAAATTTTATAATAATAATAAATAATTAAATTTATAAATTACTAAAAAATTAAAAATTTCAAACAAAGTTATCGATTTTAAGATATAATTAAAAGAAAAGAATCATTGTTTTCTATGACATAATTTAAGTATTATGAATGAAATGTCCAAATTTCCAATTCTTATTTAATTAATTGGTACAAACTAATTTAAGTTGACAATAAATTATCTTTAAAAAATAACGTATTTTTTTTAATAATACATGACATAACTAATTACATTTATTTCAATTATTATTTATTATCAATATAAAATTATGTTTATTATTATTTTTATTAAATAATATATTTTATTAATTATATTGAATTTAATTCAATACATGCAACTTAAACCGTAAAACTACTTTCTTGACTATTTAAGATGTATTTGTCGTATTAAGTCTACGCCTCTTCATTGTTTTATTTATTCATGCAACGTATTCAAGTGTCTCAGAATAGATTGATAAAAAGTACATGTTAAAAATGACGTAATAATGCATAATGAGATAATTTTGTTTCGTGCAAATTGCATGAAAATTAATCATTTCACAAAAAGGAATATGTATGAATATGATATGTTATTAGTAGCCTAACAAAACTATTCAAATAGAACTCATATTCTAAGGACAAGCATGTTTTGCATAGTTTTTTATGTCGTTGTAGATGATTCTTTTTTACTGAATTGCCTCTTCTGGTTTCGAAAATATCTGCGATAACAAAGCGTCGTAGGAGGAATGCGAAGAAAGTGTTCCGAAAGATAAAAATAAAAGGGAAGAAAAACTAATTATCAGACCATTAACCTCCGTCTAGATCTTGTTAGGAAAATAAACAGTACTATCGTGTATGTAGTGATTTGCCTTGCTTCAATTTTCTCCACTCTATTTTGATCTTTTGAATCCACTTACATATAAAGTATATAGTATATTAAATTACTTCGTTTTCTTATAAAGTTGTTTATATTTTCAAAAGTTCATTAGTTTATTTAATAGTTTCACTCAACACTCATTTATTTTTAAATATAAATATTTACCTTTCATATTCTATTCAGATATAATATTTTTGAAATAAATCCTAATTAATATTTATTTTACTGAAATATTTCCAAAATCTTCTTTAGATAAATACAAATCTCTAAATGGAATATATGTTTGATTACGAATATATTTATATATATTTGATTACGTCATATATTCTGATCGACGTACTGAAATATAAATTTCACTTTCAATTAGATATTTCTCTGCAACGCCTCGATCGAAAAGAAATTTACTTTTATGGCTCAATTATTGGAGAAATTTAATTGATTTCAATAATTCAGTTTCCCAAATCCTAATTACTTAGTTAATTAATTCCTCAGGTCCATAAAAAATAATATTTAAATGTTTTGAGTTGATTATTATTACTAATTAATTTAATCCTTCTCGTATTTTAACTCACAATTTGGATTATTTTAATAGTTTATTCCTTCCAGATTGGATATTTATTGTTTTTAAATTTATACTTGAATTGAAAATTGACCAATTATTTATAAATTTTCAAAAATATTTTGTAAAATATAAAATTAACAGATTGATGGCCATAAGAAGGATGATGATTATTTTATAATTGATTAGGGTAGGTATAACATTTCTATCAATGAATACTATGATTCAAACAAATTTTTAGTCAAATGCTTTTCAATAAATTTATTTGTCGCTTATTGAAAGATCAAAGTTCCAAAATCTTGAGATAATTTACTTTTAGAAATTACACAAAGGTTTGTTCAATATACACATACAAAATATTGATTTTAGAAATTGAGACGACAAAACATTTCTTTCTTGTTCAAATAGATTTGTATCTAATAACACGTAAAACCATCACGGATTTCAAGTGAATTTTGAGGTCCTGTTTATACGAACACTTCGCGTATAAATCGACACGCGAAGATACATTCTGAATTGATAATTGTCTTAAAAAAACACATGAACATTTTTGTTAATAATAGTACTCTACACCAGATGTGTTCAACTTTTTAGCTTCGCTGGGCTACATTGGAAGAAGATAAATTGTTTTGTGTCACAACAATAATTTGCATTAGGAAATAGGCCATTAACTGAAGTCTTTCTATCTCATGTTATAATTGTTTTATTTCATCTTTAAAAACTCGTTAACTAATAGAAATTTAGAGTAAACGCTTTATTTTTTTAAGATGCGAAAATTAGAAAACGCTAATTCTTCGTTTCTTTTTTTATCGGAATTGAATTTAAAAGAGAAAAAAAGTTAACTTTCAACACTTTCCTGCTCCATTCTTCTCTATTTCCATTCTATTCGGATTTGTGTAGCCTTGTAAATATTTTTAACTAGTTACAAAATCAAAACACTTTTCTATAATCAGAATAGTTATCATTAGGAAATTTTTACCACAGATTGTGACGTATATTTTTTTTTCTTGGAGACATTTTATCCTGAAACGTAATTATGAATAAGGAAGTGTAAACCACGCGAAGTTTGTTCATTTGATAACAGACGTGGTAAATAAAGTACAGCGTCAATAAACATGCTAATAAACGCCGCATTTTGCACGGTTTAGCTTAATTTCCAAGGACAAGCAAACAAAAGAATCATTTCAGCAATAAGATTACAGACATTTGTTTGTGATTATGCAAGCAAGGGGGATCAAATCTTTAGTGTTTCTTAATATGAAAGAAATACAGCGGAATTGGAAAATATTTGTTTTATACTTCTGTTTAATTTAAGAACGAAATAATAGTAAATTATGAGATATTTCTTTAAGACATTACGTATTATCATATTTTATCACCTAAAATATATTACTTTTTACTTGCTGCCTAGATGACGTTGCAATCGATTTTCTCATTATTCACTGATAACACTTATTGTCAGGATTTTAGAGAAGAAAGATACATAGATTGAGTATTTCATATATTAGGAAGATAAATAACGTGTCTCGCGTATGCACTTAAACGTAAATATTTACGATGCAGGTTATAAGTCCTAATTGTTACATGTAAAAAAAAACTGAATAATCAAAACAACAAATATCTCTTGATTCACACAAACTTGCTATATCACGCTGATAATATAAAAGAATAATTAGAAAAGTGATGAATATCTGCTTAAGGAGTGTTAAATATATAAAGTATGTTTGTTCATACAGCATTCTCAAACAGCGTTTCTAAGTAAATAAACACTGAAAATTTGTATTGCATATTATTATGTAGATATTTAATAGCAAGGTACAACAATTACCAAAAATTAATAAATAAAAAATATAATAATTTGAAGAAGTTTTAAGTTTGAGAAAGAGTATGCATCTAACAATATTCAAAAGCGTATTAAGTAAAATCGAGTAAAGTGTAAATCAAGAAGATGTATAAAGTAACGCACAGTGAATAACAGTGTAACAACAATAAATTTATCAATGTTCATTCCTACCAATTACCTCTATTAATACAATCAACTTAACGGGTTTAAAGAACAGTATGACGATATCGATTAAAGTTTTTCTTTCAATTTTTATTCTTCCAGTAAACCATTTACGTTTGATAATTTTAAACGTAACGTAAAGTTTTATAAACAGGTGACAGTTTGCAGTTTGTCATCAATTATGAAAAATCTAATTTATTTCCTTTTAAAAAATACATTTTGTTTATGGTTTAGTATGCTATTGAAAAAAAATTATTTGAGATTTTATTGCTATGCACTGAGCGAGCCGAGCCATGAGGCAATTAAATAGTCGTAAAATTTTGGATAAGGCCAATTGTATTCCAGAAGGAATATTAGGGTTTTGAAGAGTGTGAAATAATGTTCAATTTCGTTTTTCTGAATTTGTATTGTTTTCCTTAATTATTGATAAACATTTTAATTACATATTTTGTTGTTAAATTTGGTTTGTTAATAATTAAGAAAATTAAACTATTGTTTTTATTTATTTAATTCTAAGAACATTTATGAATCCAATTTAAGAGTTTTCTTTATAATACAAACTTAGTGTAAGTTAAATAATGTTTTACTAATGTAAATTATTATTTATTTTCACTCAATTTGAACGAAATGTAGTTTATTTTTTAGAATTCCAATTTTTCTTTTATTGACATCTTTAATTGATTGATGGACTTTGATTATTTATAAATAAATCAAATAATAGTGGTTGAAATACTTTGTTGGAAATAAGTACGTACTTAACCTGGTTATATTACTTAATGCTGGGTAATTAGTCGTGATAAGGTTCGGGTCAAGTTTGTGGTCACTCACTTGTAAATATTTTCCCATGTTCTTCCTTCCGACTGGCGTCCTCGAGGCGATCCCAGATGGTGACTTATGCATGTAGCTGCCGAGCGGTTTGTTGTTCGTGTCGAATTCCTCGCTCTCGAATCCACTGGACGCACTTTTCGAGTGGCACAGGTGCCTGGGTTTCGTAGCCGCCGCACTTTTCATCAGAACGCTCTCCTCTTCGTCTTCTGCACTTTCATCCACACGCACGCCGCCGCCTCCGCACCTCCTGCCGTCGACGCTGTCCGATAGGTTGCACAGAATCTTCTGCAGAGACACAGTTAGCTTCTCCAGGTTCTCGGTACTCCTTATCTCCGGTGACGTCTTCTTGCTACCCAGGCTGATCCTGCTCAGCCTCTTCTGGTGGTAAATCTCCTGTTGAGCGGCGGCAGTCTCGTCGTCCGGTATATTCGCGATGATCTTCTTCACGTTCGGCGACAAATTGAAGTTGTTCACCTGGAAGATGCGTCTCGGACAAGTCGAGGATTGCGTTGACTTCTCGATGCAGCTCCTGCCGGAAAGCTCATCGAAGGCGCCCATTATCGAGGGCAGCAGATCCGGGGAACTCCCTACAAACGAAAAAAAAAACAAACAAAATAAACATCTGAATAGCAGCAAAGCGGAAGCACCAAATTTATATTAACCATTCGGAGGAAAACATCACTGCGAGCACGGTTTCCACGATTTGATTTACACGAGACGGGTGCTAATTGATCGCGCTTTCACCGTCCGACGTCTCGACTCGCAATGTAAAGTGTAAAACCGAGTGGGCTTTGATTTGCTGAGTTTTTTTTTCTACTTCTACCAATGGTAGGTAGCCCCACCGCTCGGCAGCAGTCGTCGAGCGTGGGCATGCACATACGAAAATTTATTTGTTATTGGTTTTGAAATTAAAAGCCAAACGAAAAGTCGAGTCCGAGCAAAAGAACAAAATACCATCGTCCCACCACAGGTTGGACCGTAAATTCTGCATATATTATTAATAAAATATAGGCCGTCGACCATCTGGGACGAATTAAAAGCTCTTATTTTATTTCTGTCTTATAAGAACGCGCATTTTATGGTAATTACTGTATGTTTCAGTTTACGTACAATTATAATTTCGGTTTCGATTATTTTTGTTGCTGCATCGATGGTGCTGCTACAAACAAATGCACTCAGTTGCTAGGTGTCGCTTGGAAATGTCGTAACTTATCGAGACTGCTTCATTTACAATAGCACAAAGTGTTAAGTAAATGCATTCTAACAATTATTTAACCTTGCTCGATCGAAACTAGTACTATTTCCTGATTTCAGATAAATTAATTGGCAATTTTCTCAGAAAACAAAGTAATCATGTCTGTTATGCCAATTAGTGTCTCTTTAATTAAATAAATTACTTTTAAACTAAATATAAATATGATTTTTATTTATAAATATTTTTTTCAATATATTTATTTTCAATCAGTTTATTAAATCTTACAAATTTGTAAACAAAAAATACAATGAACTAACAAGTTAAAAACCACTAAAATTATGTAATTGAGTTTATACGCCAATTACACAAATTACAGAATTATGGAATTTTATTTTTTAAGGAGAATATAATTCAACTAAAACTTAGTTAATTGTTAAACTGAAAATTATAAATATTTTAATTTAATAAATAGTATTTTATAATGCACATATAAATATAATGTTGTAAAATTAGTTTGAATTAATTTTATTACATTACAAATTTTGTATTTTATATTTAAATATATCTAAAATTACATTCATAGTTACATACCAAATAATTCACGTACATATGAAATATAGAACATTTTACAATGTTGTATGAACTTTCACCAAGAGTTATGTTGCTTGTATTTACAGATGTATGCAAATATAATCCTTGTTCTTTCGTATATTTATCGTAAGCGTCATATTTTCTTTAAAATATTCACAACTTAATGCATAAACGCTATTACTCAATTGAAACTAAAAAAACTTTATAAATGAAAACCAATATAATTCCAATAATCTAAAGATTTTTGAAATGTTGTTTCAAAATATCGTTTTTTAATTTAGAAATTCAAACCAAATTATTGGATGTTCCAAGAATTGAATAATTGTAATGTTTCAGTTTTCCTTGTAATATATATTTAATACTAAAAAAAACTTATTAAATAAAGTAAAGCAAATATAAATGTCGACTTTGCCTATATTCTTCAAAGAAATTTTTGAAGCGTTTGAAAGTAAACGAAAACTTCGTTTTTTTTTTGTAAACTGGTTTTGTTTTCCTGTCGTCGCTCTTGAAACATTCAGAATGCATAATATATTTACATTATTTTCAGATAAATCTAAGAATAATGTAGTTTCTTAATAAAAAGTACTTTCAAACGTACACGAAATTATTCATACTTTATATTCGTATTTACATGTTTTCCACATTATCAGGAATACGGGAAGAATGCTTTATTTTGAGAATTTAAACTATCAGACCCTGAATTTATTTTAATTAAATTAAAGCGTTTTGTTTATACACAATATTTGTATTTTTATAGACAATGAATATATACACTATAATTTATATACTATAACATTTTGGTGAAACTATTTACATAGCAAATTGTGTGAATTAAGAATAATATTATAACTTTGCTTATTATATAACAACAACATCAAACGTCGTTAAAACTGTTTTAATATTTTTACTTTCAATTAATATTTACACACTAACATTACTATTGCTAATGACGGAGTGACCTTATACTTTTACCACTTAATAAATAGCATTTGAAATTAATTGATTAATGCGGTCTTTATGTAAATTGTAATTAAGTAAGTTTTATCGTTAAAAACATAATTATATTTATAGTCTTTGATAGCACTAAAATGCAAATAAGATATCGAAAAATAAATATTATATATTTTTTTCAATTTACTAAGAAAAAAAATAACAAATTAAAAACTTTTAATTGTTTATAATATGTAAGTGAAATAAAATATAATATTGATATATTGGAACGAAAGAAAATTTCATAATTGAGTCTCAGCTTCTTTATACAAACCTTAATGTAATTGAAGCATTTACATTTTAAATAAGAGCTTGTGTTACTCATGGAGAACCGTGCAATTATAAATCTGATAGTATATTAGCAAGTTTATCTATATAATATAACATACAAATATATACAAAAATACTTCTAATAGTGGTAATCGGTTCCGCACTATTTGACATCGGACTAGTCGACTTTAAAATCACATACAAATAAACAGCACAGAACTTATTTTTCTTTTGCGCAATTTAAATTTAGTTTGTTTTTAGATTTTCAAACCGTACAATAGTGAATGGGTACTAAACGAAGCTGCGTTGTGTGAGGTATTGCTGTACAGTGTTTTTTTCTGCGAAATTGTGTATTTTATTATTCACTAATATATTCAAATTGAAGTTTGCCACTCGTATGACTCATAAACTTGAGTTAATTAACAAGTAGGGAGGACCGACGTATACTTTACTACTGAATATTTTATGAGGAAAGTGGGGGGTTGTTAGCATGTAACTAGTATTAATGGATGCAGGCAGCACTTAATGGGAAACGCGGAAAGGTTAAAGTTATCTTTACCGGTCGACTCTGAATGATGAAATTGAAGTAAATTAGTATGATTATCTGGGGTTTATTTCCGATAATTAATGCAATGCAAATTGTCTATGCAGCGGAGATGCGAGGTGATCGTGGGTGAACTTACATGTTGTTGTCTCTGCGTTCGGAGCCGTTTTAAAATTAGAGCTCTCACACGACCACCAACTTTGTTTTTCGAGTTGCGTAGATTTCATTTAGGGGAAACGTGTGTACGCGCTTGTAATATGTGTGTGTATGTTTGTTTGTGTGTGAAACAGTTTCGTAGTTTAATTCCAATTAATTGCCTAGTGTTTCTGAGGAGCCCAGATGCTCGCACATCCATCACAGCGAACGCCTGCGTATGTGCCCTTAATAGATTCAAATAGAGTTCCTTTCATCTCGATTCGGTAGCCTCGTTTCCTCGACATCGGAAGCTTTGGAATTCACCGAACGGAAGCTCGAGTCGGTTTTTGTGTTCGAAACCAATTAACATTTCTCGTAAACAAATTGCACGTATCTACGGAACAGACGATTACATCTATTTCAAGAAATATGTTTCGTATGTTTATTGATTCATGTGTATTGAAAATAAATCTTCAATATAAATACAGCATACTTCGCATAGTGAGGGTATTTGCTAATGTCCCGGACTAATCGAGGCACTAAATACATACAAAAGTAATAAGAATAATAAATAAGAGAAAAATAAAGAAGTTGTTGCAGAAATGATGTTAACAATCAACTTAAATGACATTGAAAACGTTTTATTTTTTAGTGAAAATGATCCTGATTTAGAATGTAATAACAATTGTTGGACAATAAGACGCACCTTTTTACATTTTAAACTAAATGTGATTAATTATGCAAAACAATATGAAAACAGAGCAGCACAAAGATATTTTGGTCCACCACCAACAAAGAAAATGGTTCAAGAATGAAGAGAACAAGAGGCATTAAAACTGCTAAGTAAAGACAAGAAAACATTCCAATCGCACTTAGAAAAATAGACTAAAATTTTAGTTTCTAAATATGCGTCCGGTGCGTCTTATAGTCCGAAAAATAGGTAAGTCGAATTTTATTTCTTTGAAATAATAAATTTTCATTTTCTTTACGAAGGCATACTACACCTCTAAAAACGAAGATTCGCGCTAAGTAATTTAGTGAAATGCAACTTATCGAGGCATTACTGTATTGTACAACAAATTTCAGATTTATGACCTGTGCGAGTTATTGCTAGGATTATTCTCTTTTTTTTTGTGTTGTGCATGGTTGGTGTATGTTATATCAAAGCGCTTCAGAAAATATGATTATGGTCTCCACGATAACTGGTTCACATGTTGCCCGCAAGCTCTGAAAAATTACATCAGCCCTAATCTACATGCATCATACATTAAAAGTTCAAATCTAACCAACAGAACGATATAAACTATGTTATATAAAGCTGCATCTACACTGTGAGTGAATCAAAATATAAATATCGTCTTCAAAATATGTGCGATTTGTTTCATCTAACGAAACATAGTAACATCAATCACATTTCTTTATGATGATGATGTGTGATCAACTTAAGATTAAACACTAGAATACATAATTTGTTCTGGTTGGTACACCAAAATTTTGTTTACTGAAATTTTTTTATTTTCGTTCACTTCATTACTCGAAAATAAGTATGTAACTATCAGTAATTTTCGTAGTATTATCGACTTTCGCGTTAGATTTTCTATTGTTTTTTATGAACTTGCCACCTTTGTATTTACTATAATCGTTATTGACCATAGGTCTTTCCGCTCTATTTAATATGGTTTAATCAAAGAAGTATAAAATTTATTATATATTATATATAATAAAATTTATAATTGAATTTATTTATTACTGTCATAAAATATATTTTATTTTTACAATTATTAATTATATTTTGATCTTGATAACTACATTTTGAATTCCATATGATTTATATGCAAATAAATCAGTGTTATGGCTTATTT